CTCTTTCTTCAGCTGTTAATCGTGGCATATTACTTGTGTATCATATCATGTATTCTTGGCTCTCTTCGCACCCTACAGAATCCTTCTACATGTGAAATGGATGCGTTTTGGCGATTGATATTGCTATGTGTAAACAGAAAATGGAAAAACGTTACTTTGCAAGCAAAAATGTTAACAAAGATAATTTAAGATGTTCCTAATAATTCTTTCACAATATCAAAGACACGTTTTACTTGTTTTCACAAATGCAAACCAGCAGAAAATGTTTCAAAAGACTGAAATAATAGGAATGATTATTTCACAACAGTTGTTTCTCTTTTTATAGTTGAAACATGGTGACTTTAAGTGGTTTATCATTGTCGCAAAGCAGAATTATATTTCAACATTTCTTTTGGACATCAAAATCATTTTTTATTGGTTTACTTCGGCATGAACGAATATAGGACAATTGAACTCTTCTGATAACGATGCATTACAGTTGTTTCTTATTTTAATAGTTGAAAAATGGTGACTTTAAGTGGTTCTTCTGAAAAAGATGCACCTAAATATGAATGCATTTGATAATTTTCTTTTCGTGATTTGCATGAAGCTGTGTTGTTAAGCTTTCTTGTAAACTTATATCTTCTCACATATCTTTGATAGTTTTTCAGTAATTCATAAAGGTAGGAGGGTAACGTTCTTTTGGCGTTTAGTGTATGCTTATATATGCTTATGTATGCCAAAATATATATATCGTTCCTTCACTTTCATTTTCTTTCAGTCACTGGGAGATAAAGTTATACTTCAAAATACTTAGAACTGTTATCACATTAATGAGAGATGGAGATATTTTCAGTCAGTGGGAAAGAAAACTGAAATATCCAGGCATTTTATTAACTGTCCGAGTGAAAGATTCAATCTGTTAAGACATATGATGCGGGTATGTACAGTACAAGGCAGTGAACAGTCTCGGGGAATCCCACGTTATTGTACTAATTGATCTCATTCAAATGTCATGTGCAGCCTGACAATGTGCCACCTTCAATCTCTTGATAACCACACAATAACCATAATGTCTTCTCCGCAGAGATTGATCAGGGATACACGGCATATGAAACACACAGGTTATAGCTCGTCCACACGATGCACACACACAGGTTATAGCTCGTTCACACCATGCACACACACAGGTTATAGCTCGTTCACACGATGCACACACAGGTTATAGCTCGTCCACACGATGCACACACACAGGTTATAGCTCGTCCACACGATGCACACACATAGGTTATAGCTCGTCCACACGATGCACACACACAGGTTACAGCTCGTCCACACGATGCACACACGTCTCATTTCAAGCAAATGGTTGATGTGAAAATTCAAATTTGTGGAAAATTACGACATAGATACGTGATGATTAAGCTACAACTGTATTTCATACAACCCAAAAGACTGTAACTGGACACGCCTTGTTCTACATCGTGGGAATACCGCCGTGACTGGAGGACGAACTGTCGATTGTCATATCATTCTTGTAGTTCCCATTTCCCAACATTGGGAAAAACAAGAACATGTACATGTATTACACATGAGCACAGTGGAGACGATATATCCGTTCACAAACACCGGAAGCGAGTCACTGTAAGATTCCACTATGTGTATACAACTGATACACGGAGATCAGTGCACCGAATCCAGAGCAGATAACACTTTGTTTATTCTCAATCTGCAGAGAATAAATCATGCCCCAACCTCCTCATTTGTAAGGAAAGGGGAAGAGCGTTATCGATCTCATTGCTAGCTGATTGACTATGTGAGGGATCGATACCGAAACGAGCAGACGAGTTTGCAATGCAGTAAACAGTTGACGGTATCTGCATTCAAAATCTACTGGTGGCATAGATGGAAGGTAGGCAGTGTCAGACACTGTAACACAATATCTACTGGTGGCATAGATGGAAGGTAGGCAGTGTCAGACACTGTTACACAATATCTACTGGTGGCATAGATGGAAGGTAGGCAGTGTCAGACACTGTTACACAATATCTAGATGGAAGGTAGGGATGGAAGGTGTCAGACACTGTTACACAATCAGACATCTACTACTGGTGGCATGGATGGAAGGTAGGCAGTGTCAGACACTGTTACACAATATCTACATCATGGATACTGGTGGACACTGTTACACAATATGGATGGTGGCATGGATGGGGAGGTAGGCAGCGGCAGTGTCAGACACTGTTACACAATATCTACTGGTGGCATGGATGGGAGGTAGGCAGTGTCAGACACTGTAACAGAATATCTACTGGTGGCATGGATGGAAGGTAGGCAGTGTCAGACACTGTAACACAATATCTACTGGTGGCATGGATGGAAGGTAGGCAGTGTCAGACACTGTTACACAATATCTACTGGTGGCATGGATGGGAGGTAGGCAGTGTCAGACACTGTTACACAATATCTACTGGTGGCATGGATGGGAGGTAGGCAGTGTCAGACACTGTTACACAATATCTACTGGTGGCATGGATGGGAGGTAGGCAGTGTCAGACACTGTTACGAACAATATCTACTGGTGGCATGGATGGAAGGTAGGCAGTGTCAGACACTGTTACACAATATCTACTGGTGGCATGGATGGGAGGTAGTCAGTGTCAGACACTGTTACACAATATCTACTGGTGGCATGGATGGGAGGTAGGCAGTGTCAGACACTGTTACACAATATCTACTGGTGGCATGGATGGAAGGTAGGCAGTGTCAGACACTGTTACACAATATCTACTGGTGGCATGGATGGGAGGTAGGCAGTGTCAGACACTGTTACACAAATATCTACTGGTGGCATGGATGGGGAGGTAGGCAGTGTCAGACACTGTTACACAATATCTACTGGTGGCATGGATGGAAGGTAGGCAGTGTCAGTGTCAGACACTGCAACACAATATCTACTGGTGGCATGGATGGAAGGTAGGCAGTGTCAGACACTGTTACACAATATCTACTGGTGGCATGGATGGAAGGTAGGCAGTGTCAGACACTGTTACACAATATCTACTGGTGGCATGGATGGAAGGTAGGCAGTGTCAGACACTGTTACACAATATCTACTGGTGGCATGGATGGAAGGTAGGCAGTGTCAGACACTGTTACACAATATCTACTGGTGGTATAGATGGGTAGGTAGGCAGTGTCAGACACTGGTGTTACACAATATCTACTGGTGGCATGGATGGGAGGTAGGCAGTGTCAGACACTGTAACACAATATCTACTGGTGGCATGGATGGAAGGTAGGCAGTGTCAGACACTGTAACACAATATCTACTGGTGGCATGGATGGAGGTAGGCAGTGTCAGACACTGTAACACAATATCTACTGGTGGCATGGATGGAAGGTAGGCAGTGTCAGACAATGTTACACAATATCTACTGGTGGCATGGATGGTTACACAATATCTACTGGTAGGCAGCGTCAAACACTGTAACACAATATCTACTTGTGGCATGGGTTGACGGTAGGCAGCGTCAGACACTGTACCACAATATCTACTGTTGACATGGATGGGAGGTAGTCAGTGTCAGACACTGTAACACAAAATCTACTGGTGGCATGGATGGAAGGTAGGCAGTGTCAGACACTGTTACACAATATCTGCTGGTGGCATGGATGGGAGGTAGGCAGTGTCAGACACTGTAACACAATATCTACTGGTGGCATGGATGGGAGGTAGGCAGTGTCAGACATGTAACACAATATCTACTGGTGGCATGGATGGAAGGTAGGCAGTGTCAGACACTGTAACACAATATCTACTGGTGGCATGGATGGAAGGTAGGCATGTCAGACACTGTTACACGACATATTGTACGGAGAAATATAATACTGATAATATTAATGGCATTTCTATCGCGCATTTTCCACGAAGGTATGCTCAAAGCGCATTAACACATTATTACCCCGGATAACCCAAGGTGCCTGTTAGCCGCTAGAAGTTTATAGTCACATGACTTATCCCATCGGGTACCCATTTTCTCCTGGGTGAACAGAGGCAATTTGGAACAAACTGATTTGCCTAAGGTGAGACCACATGTATCACACGTCCTAGAAACTCTCACTCATCCAAGGACTCTCCGCCTCCAACGTTGCTTAACGTGGACTGAGTTGTGACCTAAGCTCCATGCACAGGACCACACACCACCACATACGGCTTGCCACAGCTGAGTATCAAGTGTCAGAGGTGCGCAATGAATATTGGTAAGACCGTGGTGCCAAATAGAGCCGAATGGCATATATAAAGATGGGTTATATATATGGGGAGATCTAGAGTTGACTAATACATACATATGTATTATATATGGGGAGATCTAGTTCCAACTTACACATAGAGATGTGTTATGTGTGGGGATATGTAGTGCTTTCTCATAAATATGTGTTATAGATGGGGGGATCGAGTGCCAAGTTACACATAGAGATGTGTTATGTATAGGAAGATCTAGAGTTGACTAATACATACATATGTATTATATATGGGGAGATCTAGGGCCGACTAATACATACATATGTATTATATATGGGGAGATCTAGGGCCGACTAATACATACATATGTATTATATATGGGACTATATGGGAGATCTATACATACATATGTATATATATATGGGAGATCTATGGGGAGTTGACTAATACATACATATGTATTATATATGGGGAGATCTAGAGTTGACTAATACATACATATGTATTATATATGGGGAGATCTAGAGTTGACTAATACATACATATGTATTATATATGGGGAGATCTAGGGCCGACTAATACATACATATGTATTATATATGGGGAGATCTAGGGCCGACTAATACATACATATGTATTATATATGGGGAGATCTAGGGCCGACTCTGGCATATATATGTGATGAGATGCATGGCTAGATTAGTTTTATGTGTAAATATGAATACATATTCGCAGAAATCGATGAACCATTCATGTGGTGTACGTATGATAACACTACAATCGTTATGAGTTGTGTATGTTTGTTACACATTCTCTGCTTTCATGTGAAAATGGGATACTGCTAATAATACAAAGCGACAAAAGGAATCTGATTATCGCAACCAGTCGCGCCCGCAAAGACGATCGTTTGGGTATTCAAAGCCCAAGAAGACCACATCAACGCCAGGGTGTGCAGGCCATGGTAATCGATTATACACTGAGCTGATATGGCGCCGTGCTGTAGCCATGGACTTGCGTGCCAGATGACCACTAGCTTGCTACATGACAGTAGATACTGATATTCCGTAGGTGTCCTCATTTTGCAGCATTTGTTCTCTCAGACATTTGAGGAAAGGAGTACGGCTGTCTGTTTAGGTTCCGATCTGTGTGTGTACTACTGGCACTAACGTTCTGTGCCGAGGCTGGACTTCCGAGGCATGAGCTGACATTGTGGAGGACAACAACAAGGTTAGTATCGACATAGCGTCAGTTCTATAGATCTCCACAGTATGGACGGAGACTCGTCTCTTGTGGACAACCAAGTCATGTTCAAGGATCTACGTACAGCTAACACGCATATCTCTATCGTATATACCGTGGGGCTGATGGTAACACAGACTGGAGCACCCTGCAACCACGGCCAGTGTATAACGACAGTGTATATAGCTAATGTGACATCTAGGGATGTGAGGGACGTTGTCAAGCAAAATGACGTCGTACATTACTTATAGCGATAGAATCTCTATTTTAAGCATTTAGGCAATATATATAACAATTACATATGAAGTATATCCCTTTACTTGATATTTGGGTTCCTTTCAATATTACATTGATTGATTTCTCCAGCTTGCCAAACTCCGAAATACGAGGGGTTGCTTCCATGAGCCTAAAAATGATGCACTGCGTTGATGGAGTTTTTCACTGGTTGTTTAATGAAGCAATGCCGAGGCCCACCACGTCTGTCTACGACGCTGAGGTACCCGTGCCTCACTGGTATAAAATGCATACTCCTTGTATAAGTCCTTCACAGTAGAAATGACGTCATCATTTACATAATGTTTGCTAGACAGTTTGGGAAGAGGTAGAAATCTGACGGTGTCAAGTCTGGTAGAATGTTTAAGGAGCCCAACGACACAGTTGACATCAATAGTCGGGAGGTCGGGTGGCTACAGTTAACGCCTTTGCCAAGCTTGTTTACTTCTCAAATGAATGAACTCAAAGATTTGTCAACCTTTGGCAGTAACATTCATATTCTAAGGACTTCATGTTGTCAGTTTGTCATAATCTCAGTTTCGGCGCAGTGGGGTAAAAGTCAAACCCACAAATCCTTTCATGTGCATAAGAAAGGGCGCGGTAGGCGCGGTGGGCGAGCTGTCTAAGGCGCCAGGCTAGTAATTCAGCGAGCTTGGAGGTGCCGGGATCGAGCCCACCTGTGACCGGGTGTAAAAAACCTTTGTGTGCACTTTCAGTGTTGTCACAACCCCTAGTGTACAGTACACAACCCTGTGCACTTAAAAGAACCCACGAATCCGTTGGTATATGACCAGATGGTGGCCACATGAATACGTGCAAACATCTATAAATAGTTGCGGGTACAGCAACGTGCAGTAAACTTGGACAAATTACTGTGACTATGCGCCCCAGTCCACCCAGCTGTGAATGGGTACCTCGTAAGGATGGAAAAGCCACATTAACTCGGTGCGCCTAGTAGGCAGCAAGAGTTGTATGATCCCCAGGGAGTTGATATTGATAATACGAAGTGCCGTTGTGATGGAGATCCAAAAATTGAGGGAAAACAAAACATGTATGTATGTATGTATGTATGTATGTACGTATGTATGTATGTATGTATGTATGTATGTATGTATGTATGTATGTATGTATGTATGTATGTATGTATGTATGTATGTATGTATGTATGTATGTATGTATGTATGTATGTATGTATGTATGTATGTATGTATGTATGTATGTACGTACGTATGTATGTATGTACGTATGTACGTATGTACGTATGTATGTCTGTATGTCTGCATGTCTGTCTGTAGGTACGTACGTACGTATGTACGTATGTATGTATGTAAGAAAGCTCATTCAAACACATCCAAATTTAAAAAACAAGACAACATCGAAGTTAAGAACACAATACAGGTAAAGTAAATGTAAGTAACACTGCAGTATGACGTGTTGGGGATGGGAAGGGGACGGGGAGCTCACCACCAGTGTCCTACTGGAGTGCGTAAGATTAAGAATTCGTTGATTGATTGATTAGTTGATTATGGGATTGATTATGGAATACCCCGTGAGCTATCCAATAACATGTTGAATTCGTTAATGTAATTTGTGAGCCCTTGACATTGAACCATGGGAATTGTCTTATGTATGTGTGAACCATGGTCCTAATGACTGTGGGAATTGTCTTATGTATGTGTGAAACCTGGTCCTAATGACTGTGGGAATTGTCTTATGTATGTGTGAACCATGGTCCTAATGACAGTGGGAATTGTCTTATGTATGTGTGAAACCTGGTCCTAATGACTGTGGGAATTGTCTTATGTATGTGTGAAACATGGTCCTAATGACTGTGGGAATTGTCTTATGCATGTGTGAAACATGGTCCTAATGACTGTGGGAATTGTCTTATGTATGTGTGAAACCTGGCCCTAATGACTGTGGAAATTGTCTTATGTATGTGTGAAACATGGTCCTAAAGACTGTGGGAATTGAATGTGTCTGGTCCTATGTATGTGTGAAACCTGGTCCTAATGACTGTGGGAATTGTCTTATGTATGTGTGAAACATGGTCCTAATGACTGTGGGAATTGTCTTATGTATGTGTGAACCATGGTCCTAATGACTGTGGGAATTGTCTTATGTATGTGTGAACCATGGTCCTAATGACTGTGGGAATTGTCTTATGTATGTGTGAACCATGGTCCTAATGACTGTGGGAATTGTCTTATGTATGTGTGAAACCTGGTCCTAATGACTGTGGGAATTGTCTTATGTATGTGTGAAACCTGGGGAATTGTCTTATGTATGTGTGAAACATGGTCCTAATGACTGTGGGAATTGTCTGTGAAACATGTATGTGTGAAACATGGTCCTAATGACTGTGGGAATTGTCTTATGTATGTGTGAACCATGGTCCTAATGACTGTGGGAATTGTCTTATGTATGTGTGAAACATGGTCCTAATGGACTGTGGGAATTTGTCTTATGTATGTGTGAAACCATGGTCCTAATGACTGTGGGAATTGTCTTATGTATGTGTGAAACATGGCCCTAATGACTGTGGGAAATATGTGTCTTATGTGTGTGTGAAACCATGGTCCCAATAATGACTGTGGGAATTGTCTTATGTATGTGTGAAACCTGGTCCTAATGACTGTGGGAATTGTCTTATGTATGTGTGAACCATGGTCCTAATGACTGTGGGAATTGTCTTATGTATGTGTGAACCATGGTCCTAATGACTGTGGGAATTGTCTTATGTATGTGTGAAACATGGTCCTAATGACTGTGGGAATTGTCTTATGTATGTGTGAACCATGGTCCTAATGACTGTGGGAATTGTCTTATGTATGTGTGAAACCTGGTCCTAATGACTGTGGGAATTGTCTTATGTATGTGTGTGAAACCTGGTCCCTAATGACTGTGGAATTGTCTTATGTATGTGTGTGGTCCATGGTCCTAATGACTGTGGGAATTGTCTTATGTATGTGTGAAACATGGTCCTAATGACTGTGGGAATTGTCTTATGTATGTGTGGGAAACATGTGTCCATGGTCCTGACTGTGGGAATTGTCTTATGTATGTGTGAAACATGGTCCTAATGACTGTGGGAATTGTCTTATGTATGTGTGAACCATGGTCCTAATGACTGTGGGAATTGTCTTATGTATGTGTGAAACATGGTCCTAATGACTGTGGGAATTGTCTTATGTATGTGTGAAACATGGTCCTAATGACTGTGGGAATTGTCTTATGTATGTGTGAAACATGGTCCTAATGACTGTGGGAATTGTCTTATGTATGTGTGAAACATGGTCCTAATGACTGTGGGAATTGTCTTATGTATGTGTGAAACATGGTCCCTAATGACTGTGGGAATTGTCTTATGTATGTGTGAAACATGGTCCTAATGACTGTGGGAATTGTCTTATGTATGTGTGAAACATGGTCCTAATGACTGTGGGAATTGTCTTATGTATGTGTGAAACATGGTCCTAATGACTGTGGGAATTGTCTTATGTATGTGTGAAACATGGTCCTAATGACTGTGGGAATTGTCTTATGTATGTGTGAAACATGGTCCTAATGACTGTGGGAATTGTCTTATGTATGTGTGAAACATGGTCCTAATGACTGTGGGAATTGTCTTATGTATGTGTGAAACATGGTCCTAATGACTGTGGGAATTGTCTTATGTATGTGTGAAACATGGTCCTAATGACTGTGGGAATTGTCTTATGTATGTGTGAAACATGGTCCTAATGACTGTGGGAATTGTCTTATGTATGTGTGAAACATGGTCCTAATGACTGTGGGAATTGTCTTATGTATGTGTGAAACATGGTCCTAATGACTGTGGGAATTGTCTTATGTATGTGTGAAACATGGTCCTAATGACTGTGGGAATTGTCTTATGTATGTGTGAAACATGGTCCTAATGACTGTGGGAATTGTCTTATGTATGTGTGAAACCATGGTCCTAATGACTGTGGGAATTGTCTTATGTATGTGTGAAACATGGTCCTAATGACTGTGGGAATTGTCTTATGTATGTGTGAAACATGGTCCTAATGACTGTGGGAATTGTCTTATGTATGTGTGAAACATGGTCCTAATGACTGTGGGAATTGTCTTATGTATGTGTGAAACATGGTCCTAATGACTGTGGGAATTGTCTTATGTATGTGTGAAACCTGGTCCTAATGACTGTGGGAATTGTCTTATGTATGTGTGAAACCATGGTCCTAATGACTGTGGGAATTGTCTTATGTATGTGTGAAACATGGCCCTAATGACTGTGGGAATTGTCTTATGTATGTGTGAAACCTGGTCCTAATGACTGTGGGAATTGTCTTATGTATGTGTGAAACCCCTGAACAAAAGAAAACAAAAATACTCACAAAAACAAAAACAAACAACAACGCATGTTGCCTACCTTCGGTATTGTGGAAGGGGAATGTTACATACCAGAGGAGGCAGTGTTTAATCAAGAAACAATCAGCTGTTTATATCGATAATGAAATGCCCGTACTTTCTCAAGGTTTGACGTTTAGTAACAGCTTCTAGCATGCAACACAGTTAAACCCTCAGAACATCATACTCGTAACGATTTTAAATCGCATACATCTAGTTGCAGGAGAGTTGTAAGACCTAGGACTTATTCTAATTCCCAACACACATGGCAGGCTCTTGACCAGTCTGATCGCTTAAATCAGAACCCACCTCTGAGTGACGTCCCTTTGTTTGTGTTGTCTGAGACATGACTGAATAAGCCTGATCTTACCAGAAAAGAAACTGGACGGTGTGACACCTGAGAATCCAGTTGCGAATCCTCACCGATTTAGGCTTAAAGTTTCTTTTCGCTGCATAAATGCATGCATGCCTACCTACCTATACACACACACCTACCTACCTATACACACACACACACACACACACACACACACACACACACACACACACACACACACACACACACACACACACACACACACACACACACACACACACACACACACACACACACACACACACACACACACACACACATACACACACACACACACACATCTGTGTTGGTGATCAGTTTACTTACTCATAAGGATTTCATGTCAGTCAGAGGAAACCAGTAGTCGTGCATGGACAACAAATTCACAGGAAACGAGATGAGACATAATCAATGAATGCCAACCCCGTGCTTCAAATACCAATCAGAGAAGTCCAAGGCTGAAATTGTCCGTTAAGGTGAAAAACAATAATCAATAAATGACATTAATTGCCTAACTACTTTTCTCAATGACGAAATGGGATCGACCCCTGCAACACGTTACTGTAGCACCTGTCCCCAGTCCCCATTACAACTAGGAAGACGCCCACCACTGTCCGTGAAGGACCATATGCATTTTTGAAATACCAGGAACTGTAAACGTGTCAAGCTACATAGTTGCTTGTTCCTTGCAGACTTGACTTCATCATCTCAGGAAGATTTCTTCCTGAAGGCATCACTCTTTGCACAATGCTGTGAACGTCGTCGAAGTAGCATATTTTCACTACTTTTTCTTGTACAGTGGTGTAAGTGAATATATAAATGTCCAGAAGACTCGTTTAGTTCTTTGCGTTTTTGTCTGTCGTCAAACCCTCTGAGCGTTCTGCCAAATATTGGGGCAGACGCAGGCTGCAATCATCTGCACAGAGTAGCAGAGGGCATTCCAGAAATCTATAACGGTGGGCTTGAAAAAAGGTTCGCATCCAACAGTACGTATGTCAGAACCATGCTTGGACTCCTGGGTGTCACCACATACAGTATCTGCATGTTCGCCATGATATAACTTGACTTATGTTCAAAGTGGTGATTAAACTCAGTCACTAAGTCGACACTAGATGCATATGTTTATGACCTTCTACACCCACACCCAGTTTCAACACACCGAGAATAATGGAAATAACTCATAGATGACGGGTCTCCGTTGTGACGTCACAGCTACCACATACGATTTGCGGTCAGTTTTAGACAGCAATGAAATGACGTATGACATTCTTTTTAAAAGGATTTTATGCATATAAATAATACCATTCCAAGACGTCTTCATTCAATAAAGTTCCTGTAAAATCATAAATGATATTATATCAAGCACCTTGTGATTTAATTTTCAATTAGTTTCAGCATATGAAGATATAATTCTACAACATGGATGAAAACCTAACCAGAGGATATTGTCAGCTCAGGTCGCCAAAGCTGAAAAAGCGGCCAGTGACATCACGTGATGGCTTGACCCCACCACATGACCCCTGCAGCTGCATCTATCTGGGGCTGGTTCTTGCTGGAGCGGGCTTCCTCCTCCCCTACAACAGTTTCATCACAGCAGTCGACTACTATCAGAGTCGGTTTCCAGGAACTACGATCATCTTTGACATGAGCCTAACCTACATCATCGTTGCTTTTATAAGTGTGTGCATCAATAATGCTCTTGTGGAGGCTCTGAGTTTGCCTGTGAGGATCACGTTTGGATATCTACTGTCATTCGTCATGCTCCTCATTATCGCATTGTGTGATGTGTGGTTCCAAGTGTTCACACACGACATGGCCTACACGGTCACTCTCGGCGCTGTAGCCATTGTTGCAATAGGCTCCACAGGTACGCATGATTTTAAATACACTTGAAATGTTGAAATGCCACAACATCCAGGTTAATTTCGAACCAAACTATCTGCAATAGCAAAGGAGGGCAGGTTCTGCAGATGTATGCATATTAACCATTGACAAGGTCTAGGATGTTGTAGTTCGTTAAAACATGGTGAGTGTTGCCAATTTGTCAATGTGAGGAATTTGGATCGCTAATTACAGATAAGGAAAAGAAAAAACATATTTTCACTGACATTGCTGTTTTGGATGTGAGTCATAAACACCATTAACAGACAGTCTGACTCACACATTTACTGATAGAGACAGCACGTATAGCAGACAGTCTGACACACACATTTACTGATAGAGACAGCACCATTAACAGACAGTCTGACACACACATTTACTGATAGAGACAGCACCATTAACAGACAGTCTGACTCACACATTTACTGATGGAGACAGCACCATTAACAGACACTCTTACACACATTTACTGATAGGGACACACATTTACTGATAGAGACAGCACGTATAGCAGACAGTCTGACACACACATTTACTGATAGAGACAGCACGTATAGCAGATAGACAGACACACACATTTACTGATAGAGACAGCACGTATAGCAGATAGACAGACACACACATTTACTGATAGAGACAGCACGTATAGCAGACAGTCTGACACACACATTTACTGATAGAGACAGCACCATTAACAGACAGTCTGACAGACATATGTACTGATACAGACAGCTTGATCATTTTTCTGTGTAATTATTTTTTATTCTGGATGTCGCTGACAGTAACGAGGAGACTATCTACACGTTGTTTTGATTCCCCTGAGTGTGCAATAAGCATGTTTTTGAACTTCTTGTTACAGTTACCAATAACAATAGATTGTATGATTTCGAATCCGTAACACAGTTTCAACTTGTTCACCAGATTATCGTCATTCTACGAAGTGAGTTTATGTTGTACATTTCAGTTCAGCAGTCGAGTTTCTACGGCTTCACTAGTATGCTGCCTCGACGTTACACACAGGCTGTGATGACAGGTGAAAGTAAGTCAACAGATCACAGGTACACTTACCAATGGACACAATGCAGTTATACCTCAGTTCAAAGAATCAAATATGGATGGACGATTATAGAAAAAAGAATCCACAGTAGAAAAGTACCGGTAAAAAGGTCCTTGGTGAAAATACCTTTTGTAGTAAAAACTGATTTATTTATTTTTATCCGGTACTTTTTGAGCGAGGACCTTTTTTTTAACCGAACACCGGATGGACATTGGATTCGAACCAACTTTCCAAGTCATTCATGTTAAGAACATAGAAACTGAGCATCGAGAAGTAGCCCTGACTTAGACAACTGGGTGGCTGATGTCTGGGGTCTGCTCTCATGTCCCTATACCAGACATAGGCATTTAGGGTTGATTTCGGTTTACAGGTAGTACAAGACACCCATAGGTGGAGATATATTGTGCCAGAGTTATACAATATTTATCAATTCATGGTCATATGCAACACGTGTTAACAATGATGAGCTGCTGAAAGTTGACTGAGTGACCTCCCCTTGTCCCCAGGTGCTGCTGGGCTCCTCATCTCCATCAACAGGATCCTGACGAAAGCGCTACTGAAGGACGAGAAGGTGAACACCATGATATTCTTCTGCGTGTCCATATCACTGGTATGGCTGTGTTTCATCGTGTTCCACGTCACTCGACGCACGGAATTTGTTCGCTTCTACGTCAGCCTGTGTGAAAGTGCTGGCCTGGCGGAGGACCAGAGGGGGATCACTAAGGGCAACACGTACACAGAAGAAGTAGGCCTGGTAAGAATTGGTTTCAGTGTACATTTCTTTCATCGATGCCTAGTTATATCGAATTGTGGTGTAGGTTAAATACGTACATTTTGTCGCAGACTTCATAGCTTTAAGGCATATGTGTTTATCAAAGGCATCACTCCACAATTATAGTCTCCGATTCAGGTTCGATTACCAACCAAGTTGTGTGTATTAGGACTGTGGTATCACTATTAGGACTGTGGTATCACTATTAGGACTGTGGTATCACTATTAGGACTGTGGTGGTATCACTATTAGGACTGTGGTATCACTATTAGGACTGTGGTATCACTATTAGGACTGTGGTATCACTATTAGGACTGTGGTATCACTATTAGGACTGTGGTGGTATCACTATTAGGACTGTGGTATCACTATTAGGACTGTGGTATCACTATTAGGACTGTGGTATCACTATTAGGACTGTGGTATCACTATTAGGACTGTGGTATCACTATTAGGACTGTGGTATCACTATTAGGACTGTGGTATCACTATTAGGACTGTGGTATCACTATTAGGACTGTGGTATCACTATTAGGACTGTGGTATCACTATTAGGACTGTGGTATCACTATTAGGACTGTGGTATCACTATTAGGACTGTGGTATCACTATTAGGACTGTGGTATCACTATTAGGACTGTGGTATCACTATTAGGACTGTGGTATCACTATTAGGACTGTGGTATCACTATTAGGACTGTGGTGGTATCACTATTAGGACTGTGGTATCACTATTAGGACTGTGGTATCACTATTAGGACTGTGGTATCACTATTAGGACTGTGGTATCACTATTAGGACTGTGGTATCACTATTAGGACTGTGGTATCACTATTAGGACTGTGGTATCACTATTAGGACTGTGGTATCACTATTAGGACTGTGGTATCACTATTAGGACTGTGGTATCACTGGTTATGCTGCAATATGTGCAGCAATATATTTGCTTACCGAGTTGAAAACCGGAGCCACAACAAGGATTGCAGTCCAAAATCGGCATACTTTCGACCTGATAAGTAAATCAAGAATTGAGTGATTTGAACGCAAATATACAGTCAATACGCTTTACTGATGTCGTGACACCTGACATAGCCGAGCCTCAATACTTCTGTACATGTACTATAGCTATATAGATATATCTAGTGTGATGTAAGGGATTTACTGATTAGTCACCAAACACGCACCTTGGAATTGATGGACACCGTATTCCATTTAGATCGATTTTCGGTTAACGATATTACTGAACGAACTGGCGTTACATTAAAATTACTATATCATGTTAAGGCAAGCTGCTACAGATGCCCTGCGTCTGTTTATACAGGTGGACTTCCAGGAACCAAGCACAGGCCAGCACTACGGCGTGTTAGTCATTCAGAGTCCGACCTCCCCGACAGACCCCTCCAGGCAGTTTGAAGCCAAATCCGTACATCCCGTCACCGGACAAGCCACCGTCAACGATATCACACGAGCCAATGAAGCAGAAGTCACATTCCAAGGCCAACACTATAAGATGCACATACCAAAAGTATCAGCATTTAAAAGTGAGATGGTATCTTGACAGATTATTCGTTTACATGTCGGTGTGTATGTGGCAGATAAATTACCACAAGTGAACGATGAAAATATCGGAACAGAAACAAAACAGTGAATGAGTAATGACGAAACACATTTGTAGATATAATTTCGGCGTGAAGATCAATGCCAATTGTATTCGGCATAGTAGGTGACACGACGCCATGGTGGCCGGCTGTTGTATTATGTGTACATGGTTGTATGGTATGACCAGAAATTATTGAGAATTTTAGGAATATGTTTAATTGAATTTCTAGTATAAACAACCTTCACCAGCTATCAAGTGCTTATGTTCACTCAAGAGAGACAACTCCGTTAATCCTTTTTCATTAGTTTGTGAAGAGTTATCCCCCTTTGTTTACTTGCTAGCAGACGACATTTTCAGTGATCCTCAGTAGGGATGATTTAGAGAAGAGGAAGTTGATTTTAGAGTATTATAACAAGGACATCAGATCAGCTAAAGTGATTTGAAGACAGGCATCCCTTTGTCCACTGTTTATCGTGTTTTGAAAAATATTGCAAATGGATATGGTATTGAGCACCGGGGAGGCGCAGGTAGGCCCAGAAAATTTACTGTCGGTGATAGGAGGCGGCTTGGTATTCTTGTTTCTAAAAGCAAACGAAAGAGTTTAGAAAACTTAAGGCTGGATATGATTGATAGTGGAACTGTGGCTGTCTGTAAGGAGACAGTTAGAACTGAGCTGCATGCAATGGGTTGGCAGAAAAGTCGAGGAATTCCATCACTGATCATGAAACCTGAACAAACGGAGCGAAGGTTGAACTGGTGCTTGACAAAATAATAGGTGTTCACCTGTCTTTGAATCTGGAGTTATGTTCTGCTAATATTCACATTTAATACGTGAGTAATAAGTGAAAAAATATTTTTTTTACAATCTTTAAATTCTCAATAATTTCTGGTTGTACTGTAAGTAAACCGTTACTCTGTTGCTAAGTGATAGTAAACGTACTTCAAAACGCGCACACCTTGGTCTCGGCATGCTGTGACATTGTGAATGAGGTGAAATGTCATTGATTAGAAGACGAAGTATTGAAAATGTACACCTCCGCGATGACCACATTCAAATCATTACATCCCATAATTTATGTCGATATTATATATAAGTTATCAGTATCAGGTCTGGGGAGGTGTGGTTTTGTGGCCCAAACTCCCCAACAATCAGAACATACATTAATGCTTTTCGTGTGATAAAAGGGTTCTACTTACACCATGAGAATACATCATCACACAAATTCCTGATCGTTCATTAGTTAATGTTGACAAAGAGAGATCAATTGTATGATGTCCATATCACCGAATGTTCATTTAGATTGCTGTCGGGATTTAACATAAAACAATAATCAAAGGTAAATTATCGAAACATCAATTGAATTCTTTTGGATTCACAGGGCTTTTTTTTGGAACTTTTTTATATACATATATCTTTGATTAGTGTATTATAATATTTAGACATATCCTTGTGTATTCTTTGAGACCAAGCCAGAAGTACATGTAGTCCATATCACCAGGAGAAGTGAAAAACGTTCTGAGAATATCCGAGTGCCGTTTCCATAATGCAGTAAATACAGTAATGGTAACATCATGATGTAAAAGTACTGTACTGGGAAACAGAATATGTTCAGTTTCTACATACATCAGCAGTATTGGCACAAAGAAGTCTATAGCCTATTTATAATCTAAGGAATCTAAAGATGATATCATAACTCTAAAGATGCATTGCTATCCGATGTTAGCAAATATTCAGCTTATACTTTTCACTGTCATACAATATGTCCTCATGAGTACTGGATAGACAATATATCCGTTTCATTTGTGAAATGGACATTTATAAGACATTTTGCTCATATTTCATTTGCACCCACGACTGTTAGATTTCTATCAAAAATAAATGTTTACAACAACTCGTACCTCAAGACAACTGCAGGGAACAGATATCCATGTTACAGAACTATGTACTTTGACTTAGGAACAGATATCCATGTTACAGAACTATGTACCTCATGACAACTTCAGGGAACAGATATCCATGTTACAGAACTATGTACTTTGACTTCCAGAGGGTCTGGAGATGCGGTACGAGGTGTCGAGAACAGTCTGGCCATATATGGTATCAATAGGCTTAGCCTACTTTGTGACGTTGTGCTTATTTCCCGGGATTGAGTCCGAAGTAATTAGCTGTCACATTGGAACGTGGATGCCAATACTCCTGATGGCTGTGTTCAATTTGTTTGACTTTATTGGAAAGGTAAGGCAGCGTCTAGTGAATGTATCGTTTCTTCCGCCCCAGCAGAACATTATATAATTATCACCCATCGCTCGAGTGAAGAGGACTGATAGCATATAGTGAATTGTCCCAACCGAAATATATTAGATAACAACCAAACTTGTGTGTGTGTGTGTGTGTGTGTGTGTGTGTGTGTGTGTGTGTGTGTGTGTGTGTGTGTGTGTGTGTGTGTGTGTGTGTGTGTGTGTGTGTGTGTGTGTGTGTGTGTGTGTGTGTGTGTGTGTGTGTGTGTGTGTGTGTGTGTGTGTGTACGTATGTGTATGTTGTACAAGAAAATTATCAATGAAGCATGTCCTATTTAGACATGTGTCGTATAATATGGATGTTTGGTGTTATTTACAGTATATATTGTATCATTTGATCTCACATGTTCTTACATATTAGTCCTGGGCTCCACGCGTGTATGCTGCCAGGAGTGGCGTGTTTGATTGAACCAGTAAGTCCATGTCAGTCTTCTCGTACCACTCTCCTACAGAACATGGCGAAGGAGCAACTCCCTCCCTCTCAATGGTGATCGTATGACAAAACACAAGGTTTCCCTGCAGATCCAAATAAGCTGAACAATGTTCAGCTAGTGATTGAATTGCGTGATTTAACTCTACACCGGTAAATCTTTGCCAAGACGACTTTTAACTCAGGAATATTTGCATCTCGACGATGTATGTGTCGTTCTGTTCTCTGTAGCAGTACCTGTTGACACATGAATTCCTATCAGTCCTCGCATAAAGTCATTGTATTGCGTTCGCGCGTCCCTGGATTTACATGCGCCTACAAAATTACACAGATATGTAGAATTTTAAATTTCTTATTCGACAGTGTATAGTTTGTTATGCGTTAAAACCATTATATTTCTCCGGGTTTTTTGTGAAGCCCTGTGTGACGATATGTTATATTTCAGGTCACGTGGAGAGAACTGACTGTGGATAGACTGTATATTTGTTGTATTTAAGGTTGTTCACGGTGATCTAAACGATTCCAATACAAAAGTCCACATTGTAACCGTTGTTTGGTAGCATCACAAATTATATGCAGTAATAAATGTGCACAACACAAGAAAGGACGTAATAGCCTTATCTATTATGTAAATTGTTTTTAGGTCTTAGATTCCCATACTCTCTTGATTGTGAGTTGAGTTTGATGTTGCGCCATCATTACCAGAGTACCAGGCTTGTTTGGAAATGTAATGAAATTACTGAAAAGATGACACCACTGAGTTGACATCATGGCTGTCAACGTGGAGGAAATACAACATTGGTGTGTCGGCTAGTATAATCACCTCTCAAAGTATGTCAGTTTTGACGGCATGAAATGACTGGTTTTGCCGTTTGAGTAATGTTCAGAACAGATAAACAATTAGTTGGTTTGACCGTGTATCTCAATGGGGACTAACACGCGGACCTGTTTGGTTTCAGAATGATCGCGGGTGATTTGATGCTAAACAGATACCAGTGATCACTAATATGCTATTTGTTAAATTCAGTCCTTCAAGTAATTATCTGATTTTTACGTTTCAAAGCATAATCCAAATAACGCTGTCAATCGCGGTTTTGTATTTTGTCAGAAATGGCGATGTTTACGATGAACCAAAATTTGAAAATTTTGCTTTGCTTTGATAGTGGGTGGCATCAAGAAAAAGGAAAGTCCCACAGTATGAGTGAGGGTTGATGTGATGTGACATGTATGTCCCTCTGGCATCCAGGGGGACGATGCAGTCAAATTGTGAGGGTGATAAAGGTGTATGTTAAGAAATGGAACTGATGGAACACTCCATACGTTAATCACTGTAGCTTGTGATTCTGGCTGTGGTGTGTTCTAGGTGGTGGCGTCTGTCATCTACGACTGGCCCCAGTGTCGGCTGGCGCTGCTCACCCCGTGTCGTGTGGTGCTGGTGCCACTGCTCACCCTGTGTCGTGTGGTGTGTTGCAGGTGGTGGCGTCTGTCAACTACGACTGACCCCGTGTCGTGTGGTGCTGGTGCCACTGCCCATGCTGTGTGTGTGGTGTGTTGCAGGTGGTGGCGTCTGTCAACTACGACTGGCCCCCGTGTCGGCTGGCGGTGCTCACCCTGTGTCGTGTGGTGCTGGTGCCACTGCTCACCCTGTGTCGTGTGGTGTGTTGCAGGTGGTGGCGTCTGTCAACTACGACTGGCCCCCGTGTCGGCTGGCGGTGCTCACCCTGTGTCGTGTGGTGCTGGTGCCACTGCTCACCCTGTGTCGTGTGGTGTGTTGCAGGTGGTGGCGTCTGTCAACTACGACTGGCCCCGTGTCGGCTTGCGCTGCTCACCCCGTGTCGTGTGGTGTGTTGTAGGTGGTGGCGTCTGTCAACTACGACTGGCCCCGTGTCGGCTGGCGGTGCTCACCCTGTGTCGTGTGGTGTGTTGTAGGTGGTGGCGTCTGTCAACTACGACTGGCCCCCGTGTCGGCTGGCGGTGCTCACCCTGTGTCGTGTGGTGCTGGTGCCACTGCCCATGCTGTGTGTGTGGTGTGTTGTAGGTGGTGGCGTCTGTCAACTACGACTGGCCCCCGTGTCGGCTGGCGGTGCTCACCCTGTGTCGTGTGGTGTGTTGTAGGTGGTGGCGTCTGTCAACTACGACTGGCCCCGTGTCGGCTGGCGGTGCTCACCCTGTGTCGTGTGGTGTGTTGTAGGTGGTGGCGTCTGTCAACTACGACTGGCCCCCGTGTCGGCTGGCGGTGCTCACCCTGTGTCGTGTGGTGTGTTGTAGGTGGTGGCGTCTGTCAACTACGACTGGCCCCGTGTCGGCTGGCGGTGCTCACCCCTGTGTCGTGTGGTGTGTTGCAGGTGGTGGCGTCTGTCAACTACGACTGGCCCCGTGTCGGCTGGCGGTGCTCACCCTGTGTCGTGTGGTGTGTTGTAGGTGGTGGCGTCTGTCAACTACGACTGGCCCCCCGTGTCGGCTGGCGGTGCTCACCATGTGTCGTGTGGTGTGTTGTAGGTGGTGGCGTCTGTCAACTACGACTGGCCCCCGTGTCGGCTGGCGGTGCTCACCCCTGTGTCGTGGTGTGTTGTAGGTGGTGGCGTCTGTCAACTACGACTGGCCCCGTGTCGGCTGGCGGTGCTCACCCTGTGTCGTGTGGTGTGTTGTAGGTGGTGGCGTCTGTCAACTACGACTGGCCCCCGTGTCGGCTGGCGGTGCTCACCATGTGTCGTGGTGTGTTGTAGGTGGTGGCGTCTGTCAACTACGACTGGCCCCCGTGTCGGCTGGCGGTGCTCACCCTGTGTCGTGGTGTGTTGTAGGTGGTGGCGTCTGTCAACTACGACTGGCCCCCGTGTCGGCTGGCGGTGCTCACCCTGTGTCGTGTGGTGTGTTGCAGGTGGTGGCGTCTGTCAACTACGACTGGCCCCCGTGTCGGCTGGCGGTGCTCACCCTGTGTCGTGTGGTGCTGGTGCCACTGCTCATGCTGTGTGCCACGCCACGTCTCTCTCCAACACTAAAGGGAGATGGCTGGCCCATCATTCTCTCCATCATCCTCGGCATCACCAACGGTTACTTTGGCAGTGTACCGATGATCCTAGCGCCATCGAAAGGAGGCACACACAGACACACAATGCACGGAGACACACACGGAATGGACACACAGCACACATGGACACACACAGCATGGATGGACACATGGACACAGCATGGACACAGCATGGAGGAAGAAAATGGATGGAGGCAGGACACACACATGGACACACAAAAATGGATGGATGGAGGAACACATGGATGGAGGTATATGAAAGAAAAATGGATGTGGAGACAAATGGATGGATGGAGAAGAAGGATGGAGAAATATGGATGGAGGTAATGGACAAAATGGATGGATGGAGGTATATTGTACAAGGATGGAGGCATTAAAGAAGAAGGTGGATGGATGTGGACATGAAATGCCCCAGAGGAACAGGGATAATAGGTATGGATAGATGTGGAGACAAATATGGATGGATGGATGAGGTATATTAGAAACAGTGGATGTGGAGGAAAAAGATGGATGAAAGAAGGAATGGACATTGAAAGAAGGATGGATGTGGAAATGACAGTGGAGGTATATTGTGCTGTGCATGTGATGTGATGTGGAGGTATATTGTGTTGTGCATGTCATGTTGAATTACTTGGTGAACTGCATAACTGGTATAGGCACGGGGTGCTATAGTAGTGATATAATACATATCAAACTACAGGTAAGAATTTCAACAAGAGTGCCGAACAACATGCACTGGACAACAAGTCTGTGTCCAGGAACATGCTGTATAGTCAGATACTAACTGTGATGACGAGTTGACACCGATCCAACGTTTAACCAACAAGCGCTGTTCATGTTGCAGGCAATATCATGACTCTGTCCTACAGTCTGGGGCTGACAACGGGTTCTGGAGCAGCGTATCTCCTGGACGTGTGGCTGGGACCTCACCAAACCACAGATCCATGTGCAATCAGCAACACTACGCAGTTTCATCCCTATAACGCCACCTTCACCTGACATATTCCGCTTATACATACACCCAATACCCACATATCCCGCTAATACATACACCCAATACACCCAATACCCACATATCCCGCTAATACATACACCCAATACCCACATACCCACATATCCCGCTAATACATACACCCAATACATACCCACATCCCGCTAATACATACACCCAATACCCACATACCCACATATCCCGCTAATACATACACCCAATACCCACATACCCCGCTAATACATATACCCAATACCCACATACCCACATATCCCGCTAATACATACACCCAATACCCACATATCCCGCTAATACATACACCCAATACCCACATATCCCGCTAATCCATACACCCAATACCCACATACCCACATATCCCGCTAATACATACACCCAATACCCACATACCCACATATCCCGCTAATACATACACCCAATACCCACATACCCACCAACACACACGCCAAAATACCCAGCCGCTCGTTAACATGCTCAAGAACACACCCACCTATGTCCCATCCCATACTCCACTTAGCTTCATCCTATGTCCTACCTGACGCTATAAACAACCTTCAGTTATGATTTTAGCGTGACTACAAAGAATTTACAGATGTGGCAGATCTATTCCACTGTCCTGTGGAATACCACACTACCTTCCATTTTAGTACTTGACAGACGCTGAAATGGCACACATACATAGACACGCGACAGAGCTTGACATTCGTGAGAGTGTCAGGGCTTATCCACCCCATGTTTCAACATGAGACTACTCGGTAATATCTACACAATGTATGTGACAAATGACAGGGTGTTTATGATCTGACGCCGCTTTCAACAATGTTGAAGAAATAACGCGGCAGTTGACATGACATTTGTTTATTTGTTGTTTAACGCCACACTCAGCAATGTCCTTGGTAGGTGACGGCAGCCTGTACATATTCTGTACGATTCTAGACCAGACAATCAAGTGATCGATATTTCAACGATCCCTCTCAGCAGGGTACGAAGCCACGCTATCAATTCAGTTCCCGAGTCCCATAGCCTGACCTCATAATCTCTTTTGTCGCCTCGTGCCAACAGCATAGTTAGCTGCTTAGCTAACCCGAAATCAGCACGGAAGGGCATAACGAACAGGTATCATAACATATAGTTCCTTTGCGACGAATCAATCAAAACAACATATTCTTTGTGACACGAGAACATGTTAATGCCACCTCATAAGCCCGCTCTTCAACAATGGTAAAAGTACCGCCTGTATCAGCATCCAGCAACATACTGGGAATAATAAACGGAAAGGTAGCCTATATATTGATATATTGAAATGTATTTTACATGTTTAACTATTACATACAGTAAGTTTGGAATAAACAATACAACACGTAGCTTGAGTTCTGTTGACACTGTGTATCTTGTACCGCAGTCGTCAGGACAAAGTGACCGGTTAACACCAGCCACAACCAGGCCACAGTTTATTCAAGGGAATGATGGAGACCAACCTTTTCAGAGTGTTTAACAACAAATGTAGCTTTAAGATACATTACTGTAGTAATTATTTATATATACAACAGATTGGTTGATGGAAAATGTATGACCATATTTAAGAATAGTTTTAGGATGAACATTGTTGACAGTTAGTGTCAACAGCTCATGAATGTTGCCAAACTGAGTCATACATATTGGGGAGCTCAGTCTTGGTAGAAATGTTTCCGCCTTTCTGTGCCTCACTGGATTTTTTCAGCACGGATTGTCGCCCGTGTTTTGTGGACCTGAACGTAATCAGTCTGCATGCGTTGTCGTGTCATGGATGTGGACACCGTTACACTTACGTCACCAATCGTTGTCGTGTCATGGATGTGGACACAGTTACACTTACGTCACCAATGACTTATCTACTGGTCATCCCCGACACGAGATATGGTTGTGGACACAGTAACACTTACGTCACCAATGACTTATCTACTGGTCATCCCCGACACGAGATATGGTTGTGGACACAGTAACACTTACGTCACCAATGACTTATCTACTGGTCATCCCCGACACGCGATATGGTTGTGGACACAGTAACACTTACGTCACCAATGATCTACGTGGGATGGTTGTGGACACAGTAACACTTACGTCACCAATGATCTACGTGGGATGGATGTGGACGCAATGGGTTTTTTTCCGAGATCAAAATCGGAAACTGACGAGTGTGAGAGGCCACCTAGTATGCAGGCCTGACAAGAGGGGTGACTCAAAGTCTCTCCCCATGTCGCCCCATATTACGGTAGCCCCAATCTTATGTGTTTTGATTTCACTAGTTTTGAGGTACAATCCAGCATGCTCTTACTACGAATATTTCCATAAACGTAATACGACGTGTTTTCAGATTTATACACATTAGAATATGGCATCAGCGATAACAAAACGACCTAGCAATCACAAAATGGCAAATGTTATCTTGTTTAGGGGACAATTATAACTGTCTGCATTTAGCTTTCCTGAAAGAAACCATGTTCAATGAAGATTTCAACTCTGCAACCATCCACTCTGCGTGGGAAAAGGCTTTATGGTTCCAACTAACAAAGGGAAGTACTACTCCAGACACTACAAGAACATTCTACCTTTTTGAGTGATATTTATAATACTAAATAACTAAATACTAAATGATCTACCTTGGCAAGCCTGAGGGGGAAGTCTGAAAGATTTAAGTGTTTTGTGTTAACATTATCATGAGCTGTAACAGAAATCAGTCATCATAATATTTTACTGGGTGTGTTTGGAGTACACTACACACACTGCCTGGCAACCTGGGTCATGCGGAGTGGGTGTGGTTTAGGTCCAGGTTAATGTATCCAGTTATTTCAAACTTGAAATGTTCCCCGGCGCTCGGCACTAAGGGGTACAACAAGGACTGGCCGGCTCGGAGTCAGTATGGTGGTATCTCAGTGGGCTAGCACTATAAAACCAGCTTAGGTCTGGGCTATTACAAGCAGCCACACATACACACGCATGCACGTCGTCATATGAGCGAAATATAAAGTACGACGTTAAACCCCACTTCACCTCACCTCAAACTCGGAATATTTTGAAATATTTGTCTGTGACGTGTGTTGAGTCAAACAGTTATACGAGCAGTTTATTCAAGCATAAACACCTATCACATCGACACAAAGGCGACTTTTAAATGATTAAGATTCAGCCTGAGACATGAAAACTAGATAACATTGACTGCAATTTAACTGTTAATATTTTTCCTGGATACATTTAGACAAATCTCGAGTGAGTGAGTATGGCTTTACGTCGCTTTTAGCAATATTCCAGCAATATCATGGCGGGGAACAACTAAAATGGGCTTCACACAAAATCTCGAAAGAAATAAGAACATTCCTAGAACCAATCCTAAGAGAAAAAAGTAGCTTGTGTTCATATCAAAGTACATTTATTCTGAAACCATATTCATGAATACATCTCCTCGCCTTTAGCAAGCGATTCACAATTTGCACGTACATGTTCATTTACATGCGTACGTGTTTGCTGCGTGCATGGTATTTACGCAAAATATTTTTGATGTTAATAGGAATTGATGACTGTTTAGACACCATGTGCTGAAAAACTGATTTTGCTTAACAGGAAATAGGGCGAGTATTACAAATTGTTATCCATCTTCTGCAGAGCCCGTCGTGTGTTTGTATTCGATTGCTTTATGCATGCTAACACCAGAAGTGCTTATGTAACACTTGTATTGTAATTGTTGCTTACACTAGTCGGGGCCACCACATCGTGACAATACCGACTGGTCACTGCTTATATTTCTGTTGAATGGGTCAGTCACTTCATCACATTAATTCCGGCTTGCTGCGTGCCAGTTTTGCTGCATGACGACGTGCGTTATCATGGTGAAACATCAACTGACGTTGGGAAACACTTCAAACCTTCATCCACATGGCGCTGTGCTATGAGACTGCTATGGGAGACATGGAGGTCACTCCCTAAACCATGACACAAATCGACCTTGCCCTCTGACACATACATTGGTGTAACATTCTCGACGTCGTACACACGTTCTACTTCGCCGACAAATGAAATTCAGTACCATGATTCGTGAGAAAACCCAATTGTACGGAGTACAAGCCGTGCTTGTCGTCTATTATGATGGGCAAATTGACGTCGGGCTTCACGGTCACTGGGTCACCCTAAAGGACGTCGACAGCGTAGTCCAGCGCCAGTGCCTCAGCCACTAAAAGGACTGTTATTGGGTGAGTTTGTCTCCCCTGTCTACTAGCTGTGTTTGCTGCTGTTGTCGTTCTCAACCGATCGCTGATGTGTGCCAGTCTGTAAGTCTCGTCTGTTGTAACTTAACATTCCTGTTTGCTGTTCTGACATTGATAGGGGCTGTCTGCGAAGTTCCGGCCTGGCTCGTAAACTCAGGTGCGGCATGGTTCCGAGCCGCTGTCGTGCTCTCCATGCTTTCTCATGCTTTTAATGCATCCAACTCCAGGGACTGCATGTGCATTTCCATTTTGAGGAAAATATTGTTCTGGCAATCGTAATGAGAGAAGATGTGTTATCCTGATCTTGTCTGCTTCCGGAAAACACCAAACTCGTCCGTTTGTTGCATTTTGAACATTCACTAGTTCATTAACATTTGTTAAAATATGTGTTGATAAGATGTATGTGTGTTCAAAGTGCGTCAGTATACATTGACATATGTTAATAAACCCCGCAGATTACATTTCCCATTTACTAGGAGATGAGAGAGACTAAAAGGGTCGTCGATGACAACATTTGTTTGCGAAATGCTCTGCAGGTAATTTGAACATGATAATAGCAAACTGAAATAAATAAGAGTGTAGGGAATATGCGTCCCATTTATTGTTTAAATGTGTACACATACACATAACCTTGATTATATGCAGGTACAAATATTTCCCCGTACCCGTCTCCGTCCACATCCCTGATGGCTGGTTCTCCAACAGTTCCCTGGCCAACGTCAAGGAAAGTCTCTTTGTCATACGTCCAGTCACTCTGCGACGTTGATGATGGTTTCAGTATGTATGCTCTTCCGTCGTCATCCCCCGATAACACAATCAACGGCTTCCTATAAAACAAAACGACACATCAAATACGTACTGAGCCACGACCATCGACAGTCGCACTGGTTATTTGAAGTTCCAAACCTTAGACATGATATAAGAAATTCAGCATGTCGTCATGAGGCCATCGTCGCCTTAGCACTGAGCTCTGTCTGTAGGTTAGGTAGGCGCATGCCACGACGTTACAGGACTGGGAACTGGGACACGCGTGATAGGATAGTGCAGGGGAGTACTGCACTGGTATGTTATGTTTCCCACGATGGTGTCTTATCAGTCGTGGAAGGATATACAGTAGTTATGTCTGCTGCATGATAGGGAGGTTGAACACAGGGACCTAACATAAACCATTGGACTGGCCTACGGCTAACGTTTCTTTACAATTAGCAAAGATGTGTTTAATAATAATAAGTCATCTAATATATATAGGAATAATAATACAAAACAATATTGCATTGAAGTTTCAGCCGCGTGTAGTTTGCCACCAGAAGCGATAAGCAATTAAAGTTTTCGAGAATGTTTCTTGTAACATCTGTTACAGCTTGTTTTTTTCTGGTGAAAACATGCGAAGCTTGTGAAGAATTTATACGTTGTCTTTATCATGATACATTTTGAAAAACAATCTATTTTCCTATATTTATTTCTTGTATCTAACTTTCATGATGATACTGAAGATATTTGCCAAACATTAACAGCTATATTTACAAAATGACAATAATGTCGAACTTGATCCCATATTAGACGAGTGGTTTAATTCATACAAGCTACTTCTACGATTATTAGTGAAGTTGTTTGTGTCGAGAACATGCAACACCCCTTGATACTTGTCGGTGCTGAGGGGGGCGGCATATTGTCAGAAATCGCCAGTGATGCCATGTATATCGGCAATGAACGAACAACAGGTTTCCAGAGAACCAATATATTGCGCTGTCTTTGGCTTTTTTCCTTGAAAACATCAATTTCCTGACTCAACCTCTCAACCACGCAGCACTTCATGTTGTCGAGCATCGAATACACTATATGTGTCTTTTATAAATATCACGATTCCTAAATGTGACGTCGTTTGTCTGGACTAGTATAAAACAACTATGATTTCATGTTGAATTAACCTGGTTGTACTGCTTAAATAAAGGTTTGTTTTTAAATGTTCCTTTGGCAATGATGGTGTAAGTATTGTATACGGGCGGCAATGTAATGGTTACATGTATTAAGAGATAAACGTGTTTCAGTACAGAGGTAGATTACTTGTTCTTTTATTCGCTTTAAACTGAGTTCCGAAAGCTCCAGCGAGCACATGCACATATGGTATTCATTGAAATTATGTAGCATAAAAAAATATCAAAAACCACATTAAGTTGGCACCGCTGAATAAAGGCTTTGCAAATGACAACAACTTAGAAGTTCTTTATAGAAATGTTATCTTCCATGGTGATGCTCTCAAATCAGATGTATCAATCAGACGTGGTGCTTGTTGTGAAGAATACAATGTGATATATCACAGGGCATCAATGAACTAATCCATTGCTATAAGGGTTCGAAGGCGAATGTCAATATCATACATATAAAAATGACGGCCAAGGCAAACTGCATTATTAAACCTTAAACGTCAGTCACATGTATGAAGTTCTCTCTAGTGAAGATAGTGTAGTTGGTGTGAGGGCAATAGTTACCCTTTGGTGCTACTTGTGGGGTAGACAGTCTGTGAAGATCCTGGAGCCCCCTTACCCAGACCCTTCTGTCGCGGACTGAAGCCTCCAGCCAGTGTATGACGGGGGAACTTCTCGGTCCTGTCAACAGAATGAACATTTCGTACAACACACAGCCGTACTCCTGCCTCGATTACAACTAGCACCACTTACAAGGCTGGATAACGTACCGCTCTCCTGGCTGATGTCCGTCTGTAGTGCTACACACCCTCAGCCTAACTATACTACCCATCAAATGTTTAGACTCACTCAAAGCATTCACTATATGTTATGTTTATATATATGGTTACATCGAAGATGAATTTCTCAACTAACTTGGGGGAAACAACTGCAAACCTTATGCAGACGACTTTCACCAGGATCATGCATCAAAGTGCTGAAAAGCATGTATCAATATCGTGCATGTGAACAGCTGCGTTTTGGTGTAAAGTTTTGTTAAGAATTCGCCAATTCTCACCGAGTTTCAACATTTACTGAACTCATAACACTAATCTTTTCAACGTTACGAATTTGTTTTATAATACATCAGTTCATGTGTAAACAGTATCTTTATACAGAATTGAATATTTTGCAAAATCTAGTTTAGAATATTTGACTGAAGTAAGTGGCTACATTTACAATAGTGAGTGTAAACTTTTGATGGGTAGTATTGGGTTTCAGCTGTTTCAGCTACAGATCAGAATTAGTGATTTCAATGACAGAATTAGTCAAGTTTGCGTTGGTAAGTTTGCCATTTTGAAGGGGAACTAGAAGCCTTCTGCTTTTGTTTAAACAGATGGACTAAATCGGTAAGGTTATGTCATTTGGGTTAAGAAATCCACCAACTTCAATAACGCCAGTCTAGCCTGAAACTTACATACCCGTGAAGATCCGGGTTAGAATATTGATCTTAAGTAAACCATGCTTGTTGTAAGAGGCGACTAACGGGATCGGGCGGTCAGGCTCGCTGACTTGGTTGACGTATGTCATCGGTTCCCAGTTACGCAGATCGATGCTCATGCTGTTGATCACTGGATTGTCTGGTCCAGACTCGACGATTTACAGTCCGCCGCCACATAGCTGGAATATTGCTGAGTGCGACGTAAAGCTAAACTCACTCACCTGAAACTTACATCGACACCATTATCAGCCACGAGGACCAGTGCCTTATTTAACAAGAACATAAGCGGACTGTAAATGTGGCAAATTGTGAAATCGTTCAAGTCGGTATAAGAGACATAGTCATAGATTAGAGCCGTTTGATGGGATTAGAATTCCTGTGCAGTTTCACTTGTAAAGCAGATGGCATACATGTATGCATTCAGGACTTTCTTTTCTTGAATGAAATGAATCTTATGTGGAAGCTGAGACAATAAATTTTGTTTAGAATGATTGTCGTGGGAGCTACCTATTACAATGACTTGTCAATTTCTGTCATGGCCAGATTTTAAAATCGATCGGGAAGTATTTAAACGTTATTCAAGTTATTTGTTTTTGTGGGAACATGAACATGTTAACTTTGTACTGGTTCTGCCTATATGACATATTCCATTCGAATGGCTCATTTTAGATGCTGGAATTTAACGCCAGAATCCATGTGCTCTCGATGTCAGTGCTCAACTCCCTAGGGAGTATTCAACCCCAACTGACTGAGAGGTGCTGACGACTTAGCATTGCAATGTCATCCTATCGGGTGTCCATTCACTACTGGCTGAATAGGGACATACGTAGATATTAGTTTGAGAGCTACCTGTAGCCGAATGATCGTCAACGCGTCAACGCCTGTTATAGGCAGACCGGGTGAATAGGACACACAGCTGTGAGTGGCAGACCTCCTGACCACAGCGAGACAAAAGTGACACTTGAACTCCTACATCAAAACATCGATGGGCTTCAACACTGCAATACTGGCAGAACTATATTGACAAAGAGGCGAGAGCATGTTCCAGCTTTCCAGACCAAATGGATTACTTTGCGTCTACCGCCGACGAGTAACGAAGGTCTGTTTCCTTTTTTTTTTTTTTTTTTTTTCCTTGCTCTCAAGACCGTTTGGAGCTGGGGACATCTGTGGCGAGGTCAAGACAGATCTGATGAGTTTGAAAGGACGACTGTCTGGACAGCGTCACATTGAACAAGTCCTTTGACAGTTCTTGCAAACTCTTCCTGACTCATTTTCAGCAAAACGATGCCAGGCCAAATACAAGGCGTGTTGTATTGGGATTTTATGCACGCATATATCTTTAGCGTCTCGTCTTGTATTGACAATAACAGTTAACATGCTTATCACCAAAAGAACACCTGAGAGGTACAAACAGTTTGAGCTCATAACAGGGCAGTCTCAAGATCAATGGCGGTCATAACGTTTACTGTCGCACTTCACTCCCGGTTGTAACATCTTCATAATACGCTCATATACCATATATATACCATACAGGTATTACTATCAACTAATAACTTTTAGAATGAAGGAAATTCTGTTGGAAACCTTTGTTTTTATCATGTACCCCTACAAGGTAGCACAATACATTGTTGTGGCCAGAAATATGTGTCGTTAATACATTAACGTCAACTGTTTCAGGAGACATTGCGCTGATGACAAAGCATGATTTAATAATATGACTTTCAACTGGGAAACTGCACGTCGTATGTAGTACGTTATTACAAGTACGATGTATATTTTCTTCACTTCCGGTTTGGAAATGCTCAAGTCAAAGGCAAGGAAACTTTAAAACAGAACAGGTCCTTTGCCTCTACCTAGCTCTTAAGAAAGTCATAGGCATTTGTTTTGTGGGCAGTGAAGAGCGTCTTTAGAACATTAAACCCTCTGCCTATGTTATGCAATATACATTGTTGATCACTGAAGGTTTAACCAAGGATGATATGTACTCGTTGTTCTGATCACAGTAAACACTCAATCAATTGCCCCATCTTACATACACCTTCATACATCTTACACACATATTTCCTTTACTTTATCAGTGTTATTCTGGATATCCTATAGTTTTCCTTGAGGATGAACTGGCTATTTGTCATGACTGAGCAATGTAATGCACCTGTGTTCATTCATATAAGTACATACAAGTTCTGCAATGTACAGAAGGACATATATATTGAAAACCACACAACAATGAATTTCCCTCCTACGTGTTTCAACTTTCAAACGTGTATGTGTGTTCAGTACCTGAAGTCATTTGGGATCTCAAAGCTGTATACATTTGCACTATTCGCATCATAGCCACTGACAAGGAGGTCTAGACCACCATCGCCGTTGAGGTCCACAGCTTGCACATCAAACACGGCCCCGAAGGAGTTGTCAATGACACGTGATTTGATCTGAAACACAGATCATAGTCCTCGACCAATTCGAATAGCTTGTTTTTCAGAGCATTAATATTTGACTGAAGCTTTTATGGAAGAATAAGGCCAGATCCAGCACATTACATTTACACAAGCAGATAACAATAAATATTATCTTACCTCACACATAAATGTCGCTTTCTGATTGGCTGAGTGCTCTTCAATTATTTTCAATGTACCCGGCTTGCAAGCGAGGTACATTTCAATGTACCCGGTGGGAATGCCGAACTCATTTGGTACTTCGTGGTAATACTTCTTTATCTCGAAATAACATTGAATCACGTATGATGTACGGAAATTACCGATGTTTTGCGAATGCAAATCGATGGAAGGGAGATAACTCTAAATCTGTTTTTATTGTGTTGTCTGCAAAATCTAGCGATGGCTGCGAAAACAATTGCCTAGCATTCCAATGAAGAAATTTTGACAAAACGTTCAAATGTAGTCCCTGTGAATACTAAGAAGGGGAATTACACCGCGGCGACTTTACTAAGACAATACCTGCGGGAAAAACAGCAAGATGCAAGATTCGAATCGTTTGATTCACACAGGTTGGCTGAAGTGTACGATCCAATGACTTCTAACAGTTCAAAATCAAAACTGAAGTGTTCGGTAAGATAAATACGTTGTTCACTGGTCCCTCGGGTCTCATGGGTTGATGTACCCAAGATGTTTGTTTATGGAACATAAACAAACATCGAGGGTACATCAACCCATGTCCCCCTCGTGACCAGTGAATAACTTATAATAGATCATATCCATATTTCTGCAAAATCAGTTAAAGTTAATGATTTTTAAGAATTTACATTTCATAATGTTAGTAAGAATGATTGTTACCTTAGACGCGTCATTCCACTTCCCACTTGGGTCTGTCGTCCAGAACATATTGAGACTCTTGGAGAAGAAGCCAGCAGTCACGATACAGTCAAAAGTTCCATCTGGTGTTTTGAGCGTGAGGAAGTCAAAATACACATCAGGGCCGTGCGCTAAGATATGCATGGTCCAGGGGTGCTCCAGGGCACCTGTTGCTGGATGCTCGAACCACACCAGCTCTCCTTGTGCTGAACCTGAAACAGTAGACATGTAACTGACAGAGTTTTGGTTTTACGCCGCTTTTAGCAATATTCCAGCAACATCACGGCGGGGGACACCAGAAATGGGCTTAACACATTGTGCCCATGTGGGGATTCGAACCCGGGTCTTCGGCGTGACGAGCCAACGCTTTAACCATTAGGCTACCCCACCGCCCCAGTAGACATGTAAGAGATGATGAGTTACTATACTCATAATGACTCCTCAACCTGTAACCTGTCATCGAGTTCCACTGCAGGGCATTAAGATCCAACCCCGCTCCAGTCATGTTCGGCTTCGGTGTAATCCTGAATTCATTATCCTTATCTACGCCACACTCGGGGAAGACGAGCGTTTGAGTTCTAGACAGAACCTCTATTCATCAGTGAATGTACTGGAGTCCTGGTATGCCCAATTGACGTGGTCTTAAGCCCGTTTCAAACGTTCATGCCTCTGTTGGATGCAGCTGCATTGGCTCCGCGACTGGAGACCAGACTCACGAATACTTCGCACCGAGTAGACACGCTTAGGCCACTGGCAATCCGCAGGTCATTTCCGGCAGTAACAAACTGATGACGTTTTGCTGCAACCCTTGGAGGCCTATCTTCGCTGTTGACCATATGCATATTGCTGGGTAGCTGCTCCGAACGCCAGGTGGCGATTCAAATCAGTGCTGATTACAATTTGGTTGACACCAAAAACACATGCAAGGTTAGGTTATATTTCACACACGCCTATGCATCTGCCTAATTCTTTCATCGTCATATTGCAGGAATGGGGACTGCGTTAAACACACACACACATGTTCAAGGTAGACAAAAAATTGTTGAAGGGGGCATTTTAGAAATCTGTTGGAATGAACCCCTTAAGTTTCAGCTTCCATGGTTTCTCTACCGTGCTTGTCATATGTCGAGATCAGGGTCTATAGTAGCCTGTATGTATTGTATGAGTAGGTCCTATGATTAACGTGTGTCGAAAATTACTCTTCATCATAACTTTCCTATGACTCACCGAACAACGGCTTCTTTGCTCTGCACGTAACAGCGTCAATCCGCCCGTCCCCGTTCATGTCTTTCCAGAAGACTCTGTGGTAGAACCAGGCGCTGTCAGCACTGCTGGTGATAGTGAAGGGGCCACGAGGAGGAGACACAGACAGATCAAACAAGCCAATAGTTCCATGAGTCTTCAGGGGTACCAGGAATCCCCCAGCTGCAACTACCAGCTCCTTGTGGAACACTGCATCTGAACGTACATGCTCCTGATTAGGGCATAGACATCAAAATACATTGCTGACAACTGGAAATGAACAGTGTACTTTATGCCAATCTTCAGCTAAAGTTTTGCAGTCACGTTACTAATGAAACATTACCCGTATGGATAAAAAATCGGTCAATGAACAGATGAAGGTATCAGACCCCACTAAATAAAAAAAGAAAGAAGAAAAAAAAAACAGCAACAAAAAAACCCCAAGAAAAACCCAGATAAAAACCCTGAAATGTCCAATTCAGCTTTTACTAATCTTGACTGAACCCTTTCCACAACAGCTATAGTAATAAATTTCATTTCGTGATAATACATACTTCTTTATGTAGTGTCAATTTGTACAACTGCATTTAGTCAGCACTATTCAAGCCACGGTGGACTCCACAAATCACGAGCCTTGGTCTACATCATCAGGTGACACCCAGTTGATTAAGTGGCAGAACCAGACCACCGTCCATGAAGTCAAATGTACGTGGAGTTTGGAAGCAATGACAAACATGAAATTAATCAGAGAATACCATCAAAGCCAGAGTGTGCTCCCTGACAGCACATGAAGTCAGTACATATGTATAATCATAGCAGCCCAGTCCTATGGGCCCTGAACCGAAGGAGATCCACATATAGTGTTTCATGTATGTCACCCAGAAAAGCCTTCATGTATTTCTGTTCAGGCGCCTACCTGGAACCTGGTTGATTTCATTTGGCCAAGTGATTTTGTGGGACACATCCAATATTTTCGTGCTGTTTATGGTTGGTAACTGGCGTCCTATTGCGGCTACCTCGTACACGTGATCTGTTGAAAAGGGGTTTCCGCTAAAGGCTGCTATAAACAGGTTGTAGCGGTCAAGGACATTGACAGCATGTATGTCCTCTTCTACTTGAATGAAGGCTGCGTGAGTTGCATGGAAACGCCCCAATAATTTCACTGACGCACATCGCACGGACAGCGTCAACAGCGACAACACAAGCAGGCACGTATACAACATACTGTCTCATGTAATGTGGGCAGTGTTCCACGCGAATAAGTACCTATTTCTTGACCTTTATCTGATGGGCTTGCCGTAGATCTGGGCATGTGTGCTGGAGATTAGAATTGATTAATGTTGTCACGATTTCTTGCAAAACTTTTTTTAGTAGTGATAAAAATGGGAATTGTACGCCACTCCCACCTGAGACAGGTCAAACCAGTTTCATGCTTCCAATGAGGTCTCATATGGTATATTTTGCTTCAGAGAATATTATTGCGCTGAAATTATGTATTGTGTTATATTATTGTTTCGCATGGGGATGTTATTTGCCATGATATCATCACTAATAGCTCATTTACACAATTAAAACGAACATATAGTGTTTACGCGAAATGATTGATTATATTTTCAACTTAATACTTGGGAAGGAAGGTCAGTGTATATCAACACGGACTGATATGGACGTTAAGAACACACATGATTGAGTTTTATCCTACAAATGTATTGTAACATTATAAAATATATGTTCCAAAATTTGAAGTGATAATAGTTTACATTTTGTGAATTCATTCACTTTTGTCTCACTCTAAATTTCAATGACAGAAATTAACAATTCACAGCCCATAGTATATACAACTCCATTGCATGAATTTTCCCCAACGAGTGTGCAGAACTTGAAAGGGTGACACTACCCATCAACATCATAGTCTGCATGGGGAAATCTACATCCATTCGTAGAGTTCAGGTGAAGGAACGGGCGATAACAAACTTACTCAAATACTAGATATGCATTTCTGTGCTGTTATTCAATCGGAAGAGTACCCTTGAAGGTCCGAGTTAGAATATTAATCTTCAGTAACCCATGCTTGTTGTAACTTGTTGTAACAGGCTCGCTGACTTGGTTGACACATGTCATCGGTTCCCAATTGTGCAGATCGATGCTCATGTTGTTGATCCCTGGATTGTCTGGTCGAGACTCGATTATTTACAGACCGCTGCCATGTAGCTGGAATATTGCTGAGTGCGGCTTAAAACTAAACTCACTCACTCACTCAATCGGAAGAGCGTACAGCTTTGTTCTTAGAGTAACAATGGGCATGGGATTTCTGTTTTAAAGCTCTCTTGCACCGGACCTATGTTTCTCTGTATGTAAATACTCTGGGTATTTCCTGGTAGCCATGATATCACTAGATGCTATGAAGGTACGTGTATGTACGTTACATAAGAATGATGAATCCTGATTGACCTAAAGATGGATGCTTATTGTGAAACACCTTTGTGTCTTAGTGGAGGGGAACCAAAAGAAATGCTTCGAATTATCGACAAAACCGAACAAAAAGGAATTCGATTGGAGACAACCGTAGGTGTTACACTCTCTTTAGGCATGTCACCGAGAAATGTATAACGTGGCATTCCTGATATTCCTAAAGTGTACTATTTTGTTGAACCCACATGGCCCATAGATGAGGTTGTGGAGACGTCAGAAAAATAGACGACTAGTGTGGATATACTCATTACAGAAACCTTCCTTCTCTAATTCAAAGAGTAAGAGTAGAATGTTTCTTGCGCATTATTTATTACAATTGTTGCAAACAGGAATATAAAGTTAACAATGCGCCCTATTTACTATAAAATATGTGTCATAAATATGCAAAATGATTGAGATTCATTGAAAAATAATATCATAAACGTCTTAATACAATTTCACCAGCAACGTAAAAATAAAGGCGTTTTTTTGCGTTATCTACACATTTCCATTATCAGTTGCAATTTATATCCTTCAAAATCTGAACATTTACGTTTAATCATTATAGTATGAAGTGAAAGTATGAGATATCATCGTACTTACATGCTCTATTATGTTGTGTTGCAAGAGTTGTACACACAATCCACAAACACCTGATCAGCAGCTCCTTGTATCATGGGTAGTTGCAAAATGCAATCAATAATTAAATGTATTTTGTTCTGTTTATGTTGTTTGATATTTCAATTGTACTCATGGAAAATTATCTTACCTCACACATAAATGTCGCTTTCTGATTGGCTGAGCGCTCTTCTATTATTGTCAATGTACCCGGCTCACAAGCGAGTAACATTTCAATGTAACCCGCTGTCAATGGCAACTCATTTGGTACTTCGTGGTAGTAATTCTTTATCTCGAATAACATTGAATCACGTATGATGTACGGAAATTACCGATGTTTTGCGAATGCAAATCGATGGAAGGGAGATAACTCTAAATCTGTTTTTCTTGTCAGCAAAATCTAGCGATAGCTACAAAAAGATTTGTATCTGTGCTTCAAACAATTCAAAATTAACAATAAGGTGTTCGGTAAGATAAATACATTATTCACTGGTCCCTCGGGGCCCATGGGTTGATGTACCCTCGATGTTTGTTTATGTTCCCCTTGCCCTTTCGGCTCAACTTATAATGTAACGCAAAATCCCATATTTTGTCATTAACCATATCCAAACATCAATTTAACTAAGTGTCAAGATAGGACTTAGTGATCCAAAAGGACTAATTAAATGGCAAATCTAAATGCAAAATGAACGAAAAATTGTAGTTATTCAGGGAAGCGGACATGACAAAGAACTGACTCATTGTGTAGTGCTGGTAACTATGGTCGTTGTTGATGTCATTTTCACGATTCACAAGTCCTCAAGAAATCGAATAAGTATCGATAAGAGAACACAATATCAATATTTGGTGTAACCTCCGCCATCTGCAGTGACATCCCTGGCCCCCGCTATTGAACTCATCAGACGTTGAGTTTGACGTTGGGGCATTGTGTTCCATTCTTGATGAAGATTTTGTACTGGGGGATCTCCCTGCGTTTCTGCGACCCATAATGTCACAAGATGTTCTACGGATTGAGATCTGGGCTTGACGTAAGAATTCACTAGGTCTAGCATTGTTGCCCATGAAGACTTGCCTTGTGGTTAGAGGATATTCATGGAAATGTGGCACAACAGCCCTGGCTTGGATGTCAGAGATGTACTGTTGTCCATTCAGACTTTTACTGATCGTCACAGGGTCTAGTTGTCAGTCAAGCGAGGGCCACTACCAAATCATCAATGAACCCCCAGCCAAACGGTTTTTGCTCCAAGATATTCCCTTGAGCATATGCACTGTTTCTCCAAACACGAGCTCGGCCATCAGTCATGCACAAAAGAAACCTTCCCCATGGCCTTAAGATACTTGACACCGAGCTGGTCGAGTTGCTTTGTGCTCTAGGGATAACAATGGACGTTTGGCTCAAAACCAGACGATTCTCTTAAGGCTTTTCAAACCGTTCTGTTAGACAAAACGTTTGGATAAAAATAAATTTAAAATATAAAGAATTAAAAAATAAACAAAAACAGAATCAACTGCATGTACGTGTGCTTTATAGTGTTTACTGTCGAAGTCACTGCTGGTAATGTTTTGTATATTTTGTTTGTTTGATGTTTGACGCCACTCATCAATATTCCAGATGCATGGCCGCAGTCTGAAAATAAGTTTGGAACAAACAATCCAGTGATCAATAGCATGAACATCGATCTATGCAACAGGGATGCGATAACATGTGCCAACCAAGCGAGCTAAACCACCTGATCCTGTAAGTCGCCTCTTACGACAAACTTAGGTTTTAACCCAAATCTACACTAAAACTGGTCATAAAACACATGTAACTGTACAAACAACAAACAAGTCCTCAACGGTCATCTGTCATATGTCCGATTGTTCCATTGCCCACGCCAAGGAATGGTCGTAGCGTGTAGGTCCAATCACATATGTCATCTCATCGGACAAAAGTACAGGAGCTTTCTTTGAACTGTTTGGCAAATAAGGAGTTTCATAATGCAATCGAAAAAGCTCAGTAATCATATCATTATGAAAGGAAGGGTATTACATTCTGGGGTGATATGCGAAGTTGTATGATTGTCTGACAATTTAGAAAATGATTATTTCATTTACAACATATTAAGAACATTGTGCAAACACACTAATTTCGTGCAAGGCCCTTTTATGATGAGCAAGAGAACATGGTCGGGGAAAAAGTCAACATTTACAGTGTAACGTACATTTCAGTGATAACGATAAAAACCAAATTGAAAGTAGTTCTGATATTGTTTAAAATTCAAATGCACGCTCCACAGTGAGCAATGAGCAGATGACAATCACGATATATCGACAGACAAATAACACTGACGACAGATTTCGATCTGCTCAACCAAGGGCGACAACCGACGCACTAGGATGTTTCATCAGAACGACTGTGTTACGAACAGAACATGGATTAGCCGGATTTAGCTTTTTCATGACGTTCAAGTCAGACAGGTTTTTGGGGGGTTGTTCATTATTGGTGTGGATTGGGATCACTGTGACTGGCAGAACTCCGTTACATGTTATTCATGGACACGTCACCAGGCAATACCTCCTTGACAACAATCTGTAGGCGCCCATACCTACCTACCTAGCTGCATTCATCCTTGTTTTGGTTGTGTGCCATCAGGGATTCGAACCCACACTCTCAGATTGAGTTACCTCATCACCAGCACACAAAGTCAGCGATGTGCCCAGTCCGGGGGACCACGAAAAGGAATTCTAAAAAAGAGGAGTATTTGTGTACCCCTCTGACAAGTGAACATTGGCACCACTCCCAGGGCAGAAGGGTATGAATACATAATGCCATCTAGAAACTGGGCAGATGAAACATCTGTTCACTACGGCAAATTCACCACATTCGAGATAGCATGCGAATATATACTCATGCCAATAATGGTTGTCACCCCCTCTCCTCCCCCTCCCCCAATTAAAAAATTGAAGGGGGTGACAACCATTATTGGCATGAGTATATGTACATTTATGACGCGGGCGTGTCGAAGCTGTGGACGCCTACTTCTGCGTGTTATCCACGTTCCAGTTTGAGTCCTTCGTCGACTGTTCATGATTTATAGCACGGTATCATAGGTCATGGAAGAAGCACACATCTCACTCTTGACATTTTACTGGGATATGTTCGGGACATTTATGAGTGAACAATATGGCTATGTTTAGCTGCCATGTATTATTAGTTTATGAATCCAGCAGAGAGAGTTTGGATGGTAAAGCACATCAGGTCAGTTACCCCTCTACACGCAGCCCAGATAGTGAATGAGACTTATCACAGATAAGACAGCTTATTCATTGTCTTCATCAAAAAGGACAAGATTAGGTGTGTTGGCTTGGATATATCTGAGGCTCTATATGGGCCTATTCCACAACATGGACAGAGTTTTACCCTGGGTAGACCTCGGGATGAAAACCACACGCATGGCGAAGACGATTACAAGAGCAACGAGCCATGCCATCATGCCGTTTAAGATATGCATCCACTGACAAGGTGTCGGTTGAACAGTCTCAGCAAATATATTACATAATCTATATTTTATATCAACATTCTCCCCCAAAAATCACCTATTGGCGACTGGTCATGGAGGTGATTGTTCATGGGCAGGAAAATGTCGTCTGTTTCAGTTTTAAGGCCAGCAGGCAAATGAGTGGGTTGGATTGCTATTTTGGTTAACACGTTGCATGTGTACAAGGTGCCATGTTTTCCCGACAACCTATCCTTAAGTGGCTGACTACGTGCAAACTTAGTGAATGACTTCACTGCCAAACATTCCCATGAATCAACCTCAACGTTGATATTCTGTACATAGCTGTGGAAATCCTTGCTTTTATCACGAGTCGTGACGTGCATCACTGGAACATCATCAGATAAATCAGTATGTGTAAGAGTACACAATGTCCAATTGTAAAACTAACCATCTGTTCTCTATGTACCGGCTTCTGGGTTAATCTTCGCGTTTTAACGGGACGAAAAACAGGTACGAACATAACGTTCCATTCCAGCCAAACATACTAAATTGCAATACTTTAAGTTTCAAATCATCTTTCATATTAATGAGAACAAATATGTTGCAAAGTCAAACACATAGGAAGGCAACAAATCATGTAGCCACTGTCACTGATCCTGCCGAATATTACTTCTGGTATTAAAATGAGTGCTTTCTGTTGTCGAAACGGCGGTGTCCGAGTTTCTTTGATTGTTGACTGGGTGCTGACGACAAAGTGCTTTGCTCTGAGAGAGTGGGTTCGAATTCTAGAATGAACTCATCCTTCAAATGTACTAAAAATTCTACATTAGTTAGTGTAATCCCAAATATAACATATGTTGCATTTGGCCACATTCTAACTGCCATTGCCGTGTTCCTGGCCTACCGGCAATGTGAGCCGTGCCATGTTACGCCTGTCAGATGGAGACAGGAAATACATGTTATCAATCTTCCATTATTGTAGAAGTTGCGGTGTCTCAGGGGGTTAGATCGCCGACTTTGTGTGCTGGCGATTATTGGTGCCTTGCTTTGAGAGTTTGTGTTCGAACCCTGGATAGAACATAACCCCCGAGTATAATAGAATATATGGTATATTTGTCTGACATCACCGACAGGGATATAGTCGTTATATATCATTTGATAGATTATTGGAACAAGAAATGCATATAAGGATCCCGTTTTTCTTCCGGGACCATGTTCACATGATTTTGTCTTTTCACAACCCTTTGTATATTCTACTGTCATTATCACATTTCTAAAATGATTTGGTAGATCATGCACAAAGGTTCCTTGACTTGATGGCTCTCACCGTATCTCCACAGTGTGGACTCCAAGTACCAATTGTGTATAAACTGATGAACTGAAAACAAGGGCGATACATCCTTGTATGATGTGTAATTGCGAAATGAATCAATAAGTAAATGTACTCGTGTTTGTTTGCACTGTGTACATTTATAATCATATTTGACGTGGTGCTTCACTATGTGTTCAGGAAGCACCAACCTGTACGTCTGGATGTGTGCTCCGATATCCTGTTGTGAGTTATCCGTCAAGGCAAACACGGACTGACAGGTTCCAAAGATCAAACGTTTTGATAAAGATATATTATATAGGTAAGTAATTAAAAAATAAACACAAACAATCACGCGTGTGTATGTATACGAGTTTTATATGACGGGGTTAAGGCTGGTAATGGAAGACATAAACTTGGCCCTGAGAATACGCTGGTATAAAAATGTACAAACTGCCATCTTGTTTTAGGTCCTCAACGGTCATCTGTCCGACTGTTCCCTTGCCCACGTCAAGGAATGGTTGTAGCGTGTAGGTCCAATCACGTATGTCATCTTTTGCAGCACTTAGTATATATGCGCGACCGTCATCATCACCGGACAAAAGAACTGGAGCTTTCTTTTGACTGTTTGGCAAATAAGGAGTTTCAAAGTATAATCATATTATCTCAATTTGTATGCTCTGTGCGCGTATCTTTAGGATGTCTTAATGTCTAGACGGCATAGGCATTTCGTGGTTAGCTTTTGGTAAACCTATTTCAAACATGTAGGTTTCATACAGTAGGTCACTTGATAAGAGGGAGATTTGTAACGCCGCGTTTTACAGTGTTTCAGTTTTATCACGACATGTCTTTTACTTAACCGACGAGGTGGGGTTTTGGGCTGACACACCAAGAAAAGACCACCACTGCACCACTGAGGAAGATCGGGAAGGTCACACAAAGAGGTAACAAGCGTGTCCAAACCTAAATGTTCACTATAATAGTATGAGGACGTCAAGATCAAGGCTGAAGTTGTGTCTGATGAGATTTATAGCACATACAGTATCTTAACCACAACGAAGAAATGAATGAGTGAGTATGGTTTTACGCCGCTTTTAGCAATAATTGCCAGCAATATGACGGCGGCGGCCACCAGAAATGGGCTTCACACATAGTACCCATGTGAAGAGTCGAACCCGGGTCTCCAGCGTGACGAGAGAGAGAGAGAGAGAGAGAGAGAGAGAGAGAGAGAGAGAGAGAGAGAGAGAGAGAGAGAGAGAGAGAGAGAGAGAGAGACAGAGAGAGAGACAGACAGACAGACAGAGAGAGACAGACAGACAGACAGAGAGAGACAGACAGACAGAGAGAGACAGACAGAGAGACAGAGAGACAGACAGACAGACAGAGAGAGAGACAGACAGACAGAGACAGACAGAGACAGACAGACAGACAGACAGACAGACAGAGAGTGCATCTGTGCGTGTGTGCGTGTGGTCAAGTTTTAGCAAGTGCAAGTGGTGGGCAATTTGTGGCTCTCTTCAATTCACACTGTGCACTAAGCTCAGCTAAAAGGTTCCAGGGCGCTTAGGAAGTAGTTTTTAACAAACGCAGTACAAACAATTTTCTGATATCCAGATAAACTAATGGAAGTAGTAGGCAAACCGTCAAATAGCTAGAGAATAACACCCGAGTGTCTTTTGATATCAAATATATGATCACAAGTTGATAAAGTAACAAATACCCAAGGCTTGCCGAGGATATTTTACTTTTATCAACGAGTGATGATATATTTGATATCAGAAGACACCAGGGTGAGATTCTATTTATCATCAAAAATCATTCCTCATTAGTTTTCAATAAAAAAATGTACATCTCTGAACACAGTACTGCCATTAGACTTGCAGTGCAGTGATGTCATGTCATTGTGACGTCATCAAGTTCATGACGTCAGGGCATTGTGCAAAATCTACTGTCAAAGCGATATCTCCAGGAGATATTACTTGTGATCTCACACAAGCAATATCTCATGTGAAACACAGTTTTGGATGATAAATATGTTTCTACTTTAGTTTAGTATCCAAGAATAATTTTATTTCCCTCATCGTGTGTTTACTTTTAAATGTGCAATATTCGTTCATGGGTTATACTGGTACACGTGTACGACACCCTGGTCATATGCAGGAACAAATATATCCAACTTGTAATCTTCATTCACATCTTCAACAGTTATTTGTCCCACTGTGCCCTGACCCACATCGAGAAAAGGACTGAGATTATATGTCCAGTCATAGGAAGTACACAGGAGGACGTAGGCACGCCCGTCGTCATCACCGGACACAATGAATGGCCGCTTGTATGGGCTACGTAAACACAGGAAACGTCGCTGTTATTTTGGACTGAACAAGAGGAACAGATTCATGCTTACTGAACAAAAGTCTGTCACACAACAAAGTTCCACAATATATCGGGATATCGATGCTATGAAGAGTATATTTAAACTAGGTGTCGGACATGATAGTGATATTAAAATGAACATGGTTAGACATAGGCCAAATTGAATAATGTACTTTTCCCGATTTTATCCCAGTTGATCTTTCAGTTTGTGAGCTTATGTAATGTAATGTAAACCCCTCCCTGATCAGTCAGTCACCCCCTTCTTAAAATTCACGGAGAAAAACATTGTTTTTACCAAATTTGTATGCTTCTATCCGACATGACGAACGTAGAGGGAAACTTCCTACTTTGACCCATAAGGAAGCAAATATGCCGACCACATGTATAAGTGCATATCTCTCCTTAGAAGTTGCCGATAATTCGTCAGTGTGAAAGCAGATGTGATGTGATGTTTGCTGAGAGCTCTATGTGAAACGCTGGACTAATTATTTTGATAATTGTGTGAAATTACACGCATCGGTGACTAGAATGTTGTCTGAAAACGAGTGTTCCTAGGCTTTGGTTTCAGGTGATCAACTGCCTTGCGTTTGAAAGCTGTTTGTGACATATATCACTGATTGGGCAGGTTGGGCGAACACATATAATCCTTGTTGATATTGATTCATGCTCACTGTATATTCCGAATCTCACAATGGATGTTGCTTTCAGCAGAGATTTCTTTTGGGTTAGAAGTGGCGTTGTTACAATTAATTCATTTTTGTGTGTATTTATTGTTGATACGATTTTTCTCCAAACTGGAAAGTTTCAGAGCTAGTTGAAAACATTATAAGTGGTTAGAAGTTGAGTATTGCATATAAACAGAGTGAGTGAGTTGCGTTTTACGCCGCTTTTATCAATATTCCAGCAATATCACGGCGGGGGACACCATAAATGGGCTTCACACATTGTACCCATGTAGGGAATCGAACCCCGGCCTTCGGCGTGACGAGCGAACACTTTAACCAATTGGCTACCCTACCGCCCCGCATATAAACAGAACCATGAAACATATGTGTTGAGTCGCACAATCACTGAACATATACGATACTTCCCTGGAATTGAACACAAATGGCTCTGTAATAGCAATAAATAGCAGCCATATTGAAATGAGGATTAGAATCTTTCGAACAAATTGGGGTAGTGGAAGCAGCATGGGAAGTTCCAGCTGTTACTGTGGGGTCTGAGCAGGCGATATGACAGACAACGTTGGCATCAACGCGAGACAGGCGTGATTGATTCTCTCTGTTCCGTTACTGACCAAAGTTAATATTCAATTCTGCATTTTAAGATCAAATGCTGTGCCAGAAAGGTTCAAGACTGTATCTCAGTTCTGTTTAAGTGCCATGATACTTTAATAACAATTGGAAGTGAATATATGTGCCTTTCTATGTCAGTTACACATATCATAAACGGGCATTGTTCATGCTCTAACTGAACGCTAATCTAACTCTTTTCAAAATAATGTACTCATTTCTCAACATAAATATATGCATAAACAGGAATTTACTTACGGAACAATGTACTTGATGGGATACGCCGATCCAGGTGCTCCCTTTCCCATCCCTTCACTTCTTGGTTTAAAGCCCGATGCCAACAAATGCCGAGGAAATGTACCTGTCCTGAACACATAAATATATGTTTGTATGTTGTCTAACTCCGCCTTCAGCAGTATTCCAGTTATATGACGGCGGACCGTAAATATTCTGGGCCAGACAATCTTGTAATGGACAGCTTGCGCATCGATCTACGTAAATGGGATGAGATAACATGCATCAGCGAACCAGAACAACCTCGCTTTTAGTCACCTCTTACCAACAGCATGGGTTGCTGAAGATCAACCCTAACCCAGATCGTCACGGGATGCATACAGAGAGATTATTTTAAGTTTTAAGACAACTGGGTATATATGTTACTCAGCAAATGAAAATAGACAACTGATACAGAATGTAAGCCCCAGCTGACATTTTACCTGAAATCAGGGGGTATTTCATACGCCAGTACTGAACCATTCGTCGCGTCGTTGGTGGTAACCAAAAGGTCTAAGTAGCCGTCATTGCCTATGTCATTTACTGTGACATCGAACACTGCTCCTATAGTGTTGTCGATTACCTTGGACTTCACCTGGAAGGCAGATACAAATTAAAACTTTCAGCATCATTGCATTAGACACTTCTGTACTCCTTTGACCGCCATCTAAGAATATAATGACACATTAAGTGTGTGAAGGCAAAATGGGTAGTGGATCACCCAAGCCTTGTTCATCTACACATGTGTACTCAAGAGGTCACTTTCATTGTCATCTAATTAGACAGTGTGTCCATCGATCTCGTTGCTGCGTCACAGGAGAAACATCGTAAAAAAGATAATATTTCTGTACTTGTTGATGAGTGATTTGGCATAAAGGTTATAAGACATGTACTGGCCGGTCGGTCAGTGTAATGTGCTGGAGAGGGGTATCCGTCTTCTAGTGTACATGTGGCATGGTGGGCTTACACAATCAATCCGGCATAAGTCAGAACTTCTCGCTGTTCGTGTGAAACTATCTTGAAAAGTCAGTTACACATAATTTCATTTAACCTCAACTCACGTCCCTTGCAGGTGGTGAAACCGGCAGTAGATCTCGTTCACACTAGCGAATTCGTTTACTACCAGGAACACAACCCGAGGTAAGATCGAGGGATCATTGTTCGTGCTTTCAGTCACTCTTTGATGTTGCATAAATCAAATTGCTGATTCACTATGATAGGACAGTGCAAACATAAGGTAATCAGATTTCAAGGAAATCGTCTTGTTCTGTTTTTTTTTGCTACAATCAAGCAATATTTAGAGGTATTCACTTCTCAAGGTTGGCACACAAGTCCGCAAGACGCGCTGCTGAAACTAAAACGCTGTTTTACATTTTGTATTCATGGCTTCTATACATTACAAATGTTGAAATCGATGCATCAAATGTAATTTGTTGTGCACATTAAGTCTTGCCACTGAAACAATACAAATGCTATTTCCAAAAAGCCCACAAGAGAACCAACTACTCCCAAAATATTCTTCCCAGAAATATACATGACGCCTATAGAACAGTATTGTTGACAGTCCACGCCTTAACGAAGGATCGTTATGTGTACAGATTAGGAGATACTGTATCGTAATTCAAATCTAACCCAAAAGAAAGCTTCTGGACGTACTTATTTCCATTTTCTTCTTTAATATATACTATTAAAAAAAAGTAAGGGATATTCCATGCCAGGTACGTATGATTGTATGTGGATTTAGAAAAAGATTATTCCATTCACAAAGTGTTATGAATTTCTTTCAGACGTTTTTCTTGATGTGCATGTGAACATAGTCTGAGCAAAATTAGAAGTTACAAAGAAACTTGTCAGCGCGGGGCTGTACATTTCAATGATATAACCTGACTGAAAGTTGATCTGATATTGTTTTAAAGGACATGTTGAATAAACTTCTTAATATAAGTGAAGAGGTCAAACAAATTTCTGATTTTAGTGCTATCTGAAAAGCACCGAACAACTGCCCTAATCCCACGACCTGCCCATCGAAAACCCGACTTTGGCCGTGACGTCATAGAATGCTTCTTGGTTCATAGTCCATTACTGTACATGGAAATCTAGAGATTTTCCGTTATTCATGGTGAAAAGTAGACGCAAAAACGCGTGGATTTGTCCCAGGTCCTCTCACAAAGGTACAAAGTTGTCATTTCTCTAGATACCATGCGCAAAGACCGATTTAGCCGGGAGGAAAAAAGTGGGTACAGCGAAGGGTACAGGTGGTGAAGAGGAATAGAATCTCACGTCACGGGCCTTATCGTGTTCCTTGAATTTTGAGATTTTGAACCATTTACGACATATTTTGCCAAAGTTTTGCTATTCGTGATCGCGACGTTAAACCCTATTTCACAGCACCCTACATATATACTCATGGAAACGAATAAGGGAACACATAAAGGTACAAGTGTTCCTTTATTTATTTCCAGATTTTCACCCACAGTGCAATACATACCTTATGAGGAAACCTGGAAAAGAATAAAGGACACTTGTACTTTCACGTGCCCCCTAATTCGTTTCCAATTATAACCAAAGTTACTGGTCGTTCATGCTCATGATATCAGATATATTGTCATGCACCATACAGAATCCATAGGCACACAGGCGTTTGTTTTGGCACAGTTGCGTCTCACATATACATAATGCCTCAAAATAAACTCTGTGAGAAGGTACTCTCGGACTAAACTTCATCAAACTAAACTCTGGGAGAAGGGATTGGAAAAGAAATGGAACGAGATTGTTCCATTAGTGTGAGTGTTTGCATCCATACCCGTAATCCGTAGATATATATCTACTTCCCATATGCAGCTAACGGCAAACCATTTATGGCGGGTTTGATTCAGAAAATATCTTGACACCAGTAACGTCGTCGTTGACATATATTAGACTGGGTATGCTTGTCTGTAACGACTGGGTATGCCTGTCTGTGACGACTGGGTATGCCTGTCTGTGACGACTGGGCATGCCTGTCTGTAACGACTGGGTATGACGACTGGGTATGCCTGTTTGTGACGACTGGGTATGCCTGTCTGTGACGACTGGGTATGCCTGTCTGTAACGACTGGGTATGCCTGTTTGTGACGACTGGGTATGCCTGTCTGTGACGAGTGGGTATGCCTGTCTGTGACGACTGGGTATGCCTGTTTGTGACGACTGGGTATGCCTGTTTGTGACGACTGGGTATGCATGTCTGTAACGACTTGGTATGCCTGTCTGTAACGACTGGGTATGCCTGTCTGTGACGACTGGGTATGCCTGTCTGTGACGACTGGGTATGCCTGTTTGTGACGACTGGGTATGCCTGTCTGTGACGACTGGATATGCCTGTCTGTGACGACTGGGTATGCATGTCTGTGACGACTTGGTATGCCTGTCTGTGACGAGTGGGTATGCCTGTCTGTGACGACTGAGTATGCCTGTCTGTAAGGACTGGGTATGCCTGTTTGTGACGACTGGGTATGCCTGTTTGTGACGACTGGGTATGCATGTCTGTGACGAGTGGGTATGCTTGTCTGTAACGACTGGGTATGCATGTCTGTGACGACTTGGTATGCCTGTCTGTGACGAGTGGGTATGCTTGTCTGTGACGACTGGATATGCCTGTCTGTGACGACTGGGTATGCATGTCTGTGACGACTGGGTATGCCTGTCTGTGACGACTGGGTATGCCTGTCTGTGATGAGTGGGTATGCCTGTCTGTGACGACTGGGTATGCCTGTCTGTGACGACTGAGTATGCCTGTCTGTGACGAGTGGGTATGCCTGTCTGTGACGACTGAGTATGCCTGTCTGTGACGAGTGGGTATGCCTGTCTGTGACGACTGAGTATGCCTGTCTGTGACGACTGGGTATGCCTGTCTGTAACGACTGGGTATGCCTGTCTGTGACGACTGAGTATGCCTCTCCGTGACGACTGGATATGCCTGTCTGTGACGACTGGGTATGCCTGTCTGTGACGAGTGGGTATGCCTGTCTGTGACGACTGAGTATGCCTGTCTGTGACGAGTGGGTATGCCTGTCCGTGACGACTGGGTATGCCTGTCTGTAACGAGTGGGTATGCATGTCTGTGACGACTGAGTATGCCTGTCCGTGACGACTGGGTATGCCTGTCTGTGACGACTGGGTATGCATGTCTGTGACGAGTGGGTATGCCTGTCTGTGACGACTGAGTATGCCTGTCCGTGACGACTGGATATGCCTGTCTGTGACGAGTGGGTATGCCTGTCTGTGACGACTGAGTATGCCTGTCCGTGACGACTGGGTATGGCTGTCTGTGACGAGTGGGTATGCCTGTCTGTGACGACTGGGTATGTCTGTCTGTGACGAGTGGGTATGCCTGTCTGTGACGACTGGGTATGCCTGTCTGTGACAGCATAACAACGATCCAGCAATCGTTCTCTTACAATATATGTCACTTCCTGTGACAAGCACAGGCTAACTAGAATTGGTGTGGGGGAATGTAACATTAGTGTATCCGGGTGTTGAATACATTGGAGGATGCGCTAAAGGTGATCTCACTGTCTCTTTATGCCGTTGAGTTTTTTATCATGATCAACAATAAAGCCAATGGTCTGATTCCGGCAAAAAATGTGTTTCAACGGTTTTTTACAGTTTACAAAATAAAGCACATGGCCACAAACCAAAGGACAAACGAATAAAGAAGAATTCTGTTCTGTAAATATGCACCTACCGCCCAGTATGTGTCTGTTCAACGACAGTTGCTTTGTGATTTTGGTTTCAAGACGGGTGTTTGGGTTGCTACTTTGAGTTTCCACGTGATTTTCATTTCTGAGGACATATGTCTTTCAAAACTGGTTCCCCGAAACTACAGAACGAAGTGTGTGTACGTTCAAAAATGTCTTTCTTGAAGAAAATAATTTGTATTCTTCTTTTGCTCTGTTTTATCTCGAACATTTTCCATAAAAGGATCCCGTCTTAAAATGTTCTGACCAGAGCAAGGTGTGCATGATGAATCAAAGTTCTCCTTAATTGCAGGACAAAGTTCACCCGAAATGGCCTGGGTCAAGAAGTGTTGAGTTTTACCAGAAGAGTGAATAACAAAACAAGGAAGGTTTTACTGTGCATACGTTGATTTCAAAAAGGCTTTCGATATGGTTAATAGACAAAAGCTTTTATTTCTCCTTTTAAATAATGGTATACATGGAAATATATTTAATATTCTCAAAGATTTGTACAATAAGGTGAAGTCTGCAGTTGTTATTGGTGGAAATAAATTATCTGATTATTTTGTTTGCTCTACAGGAGTTAGACAAGGTTGTGCTCTTAGCCCCCTGTTGTTTTCGATATTTATCAAGGAACTCTCGGAAACAATGAGTCAAACTTTTGACAATGGTGTATTTATATCAGAGGAAATGTATAATGTGTTATCATTACTATTTGCAGATGATCTAGTATTAGTGGCTGATACCCCTCTGAAGTTGCAAAAACAGCTAGATTTCCTACATAATTATTGTTTGAAATGGGGCATGGAGATCAATCTCGACAAAACAAAAGTGATTGTCTTCAGAAACGGGGGACCATTATCACGATATGAAAAGTGGACTTATAATGATGAACAAATAGAAGTAGTTAATGCATATAAATATTTGGGTATCATGATGACCCCTAAGCTTGTATGGACAAGAGCCTGTACCGTTTTATCGCAACAAGCAAACAAAGCCTTATTCCCTTTGAAATGTCTTATTCGCAAATATAATATAGATATTACAGATGCCTTTAAGATATTCGATGCGAAAATTGTACCGATTTTAATGTATGGTAGCGAAATATGGGGATTCAAGGAAATGAAGCAGCTAGAAATTGTTCACCGATCATTTTGCAGATATTTATTAAATGTTAGTAAGTCATTTCCTAATGCTGCTTTGTATGGTGAGTGTGGGAGATATCCATTATATGTGAAATCATACAAGAATTGTATAAGATACTGGCTGAAATTAATCACCATGCCGTCATATAGATATCCTCACCAATCGTATCTTATGATGAAACAATTGTGTAATAGAAAACGGTCTAATTGGGCAACTAATATAATGCATCTATTATTTACTTATGGGTTTGGCCATGTATGGATTCAACAAGGGGTAGGGATATTGATATGTTTTAAATATTTTAAAGAAAGAGTGATTGACTGCGCCAGGCAAGATTGGCATTCTGAGCTATCTGATAGAACGTCATTACAATTCTACTCTTTTATAAAACATTCACTTTCTCCAGAATTGTACATATACAATGTTAAAGATATCAAATATAGAAAAGCGCTTCTCTTATTTAGATGTTGCTTCAACCGATTAGGCATACAGTGTATTAGAAAAGACTTAAGTGATTATCAAGATAAAGATTCTATGTGTTCTCTTTGTAAAGTTACCGAAGATGAATGTCACATTATTTATCATTGTCCTCTGTACAAAGAATTTCGTAATGATGTTCCATGTATATCCACTCATACCAAAAATATCGATAATTTAAAATCATTATTGATTTCTACTGATTGTACCCACTTGTTTATGCTGGGAAAATATCTGTATAATGTGTTTCGCATAAGAGGAGAATATCTTTGATCTTTGAAACTCATGCTGGCAATTAATGAACAAAAAAATGTAACAATGTATTATGGGTCATATGGCCTTGAAAACAATAAAGCATTGATTGATTGATTGAATAACAAAAGACGTGACAGCCTATCATTCCTGTGGGTGAATCCAGTAATACTTACATCACCACTATTCATCCAGTTACCACTTTCAGTCCAATACACAGAGAGACTCTTCGTAAAAAACTGTGCAGTGAAGATGCAGCTCCTGGTTCCATTCGGAGTTTTGAGCCTGGAGAGATGTGATAGATATATATACTTCACGGCAATCAATCTATTTAACAGGTGAGAAATTTGACTGTTCAGTCACTATTTTCAAAAGATCTATGTACACCTTTACTCATATTTCCACTTCTCTCCGTCTGAATTTCAACCTTTTTGGAGTGACACTCTCGGCATTCAAGAAAACGGAGGCCACCACTTGTCCAGCTGATGCTATAGCTGTGCTTGTTTTAGTGGTGGTGTGATGTACAAGTTGCATGCTTCTCTCGAGGGTAATACGACGGCTGTACACCTCTTTGTAGCACGGCTACAAACATGCGTACATCAGACCGTATTACCCTAGGGAGACAACGTATTTAGGGACCGTTCATAATGTATGGCTTGGGGGGTGATGATGATTTTAAGGGGGGTGTGTGTGTCACCCATTTTGTTCTTGGGAGGCAGGGGGTCAGCAGTTATGTACACATGTACTAAGGGGGTCAGCAATTTTGTACATAGGAATATTAAAAGTTATGCTTAAAAATAATGGGAGGGTGGAGGGGTATTGATTTTGAAGATCGATAAACTCGCTACCGACTCTATCACATGTAAACAAAATGACATCTCCATCTTGACTTGATCTTTAAAATCAGTGAACCATATTCTCAAAAGCTTTAAACTGCTATAAAAATGGTTAATTATGTTTAAGTTGAGTGTGCAAACGATTCAATATATAAAATAGTTTAAATAAAGCAGTGAAATTCGGTAAAATAAATGTGTACATAGTGAACTCAAAACCAGCTAATAGAACGGTTATCGAACTCCGAGCACTGCATGCGTCATATTATGACGTCGTATGATTGTTAGCGATACAGCTTCTCGGTGGAGAATTTGGCGGTTACCGTGACAGCGGGTAATATTTTTTCCAGTTGTCAACCTCCTGGGAGGGGTGACACGGAAACTTGTTAAAGCGACATTGACCAATGAAATTAAAGTATTACATGAAGGTAAGATAAAGTCTATTTTATAATCGGTCTTGGAACCCCCTGAGCTAATACTTTCAACATTGCCAAAGTTTTGTGAATATACTCTCTCATGAGAAATGCCACCCAAGCTAACAATAATTATTATGATGACTTCTCCACCCTACCGTGTGTTCTATGGATTATTTTCTATCTTGCTGACGTAAGAGGCCTTTCAACTTGGTGACCATCTTTGAAACTCTCACAACTACACTTAACATTGCTGTCCACCTCTTCAGGAGAACAAAGAATGGTCACTCTACCCTCGTGCTGCACTCCTGACTCCATACATGGCTTCTGGCCTCCAAGCCATCTCTGTGCAATACCAGATCACTGCGCGTGGGGCTCACCAGTCCCCGAAGTCCAAACTACAGATACCAGATGTCTCAGATCAGTTGAGAGCCAGACATGGCCATCTTGGTAGCCCACGTCAGTAGCTATAACGACAAGGTTCTTCAAACCGTGAAGACGAAATATAACAGGGCTGTTACTACCTGCCCATTTCTTAACAGATGTAGTTACATATGTATTAAGGAGCGCTATGAAACTATAAGATTACAAAGGATGCTATGTGTTGCGTTCATTAATTTCACTTAACCCTTTGAAATGTAGAAGTCACGTAATGATGATAAGGTCATGTCGACCATCATAGATGTGTTTACCTTATACATTGTACGACAGAGCAGTAAATGGAAGGTTAAACTTCATACCTCATTCATATAAAGACTGCAATGGTGTTAGAGGGAGACTTCCAGTGTACGCAGCATCATTATTCTAACATATGAAACATTGCTGCGTCTATTATCAATGTTGTGCCTAAGGTATTATACATATTTATCTGTACCGATGATCCTTCAATGAATCATCATTTAATGGTGTCGGACGCAGGTTTCCAGCTTTGTGTCATGGTAGACATAGTACGTTGACGGTTTAGACTAACAGTCGAAAATAAAGTTAAAACGCTTTGATAATCTTTTCATCATTTTTAAAAAAAATAGATAAAGCGCACGTTCTTCACACTATCACAGGAAACAAGAGTACATTATCGCCCGGCTTAACAGGGGGGAATGTTACACTTAGTGTAGTGAGGATGACATAAATGAAAGTCTTAGAACACATGTATATTCCTGTCTTTGTAATGAGACCTGTCGATAATTTCATCTATTACATGGCTATTACTTTTACGTCAAAAGCTAAGGAGGCTGACCAGATGTACCGAATGGTTTAACGACGCTTTGAACATTACTTTAATACTAGCACGGCATGTCACACGTGTATATACAAACTCATGCACATTTGGACAGAGCATCATATCGTAGGACTAATAATGTTAAATTATTCAACATAACACAGACATAGTATACCTATAATATTGAAAGTACACATCAGGTCCTTTGGCGATAACATGGGGAGTCCACCCAGGGCGCACAGTTGGCGTGGAAGGATTTTCGTACCACAGAAGCTCCCCTTCCTCAGATCCTATATAATCCAGAATACAATACATGACCACATCATAAACGATAATTATAATACAAATTACAAAACATATTATTTCAAAAGTCTTCAAATCCTCAATCGAAGCCTGTTGAAACGTAATAACTTATTTTGCAAAAATGCCATTTAACGCCAACTTTTACCATGTATAAACTAGTTGAACATTACATCACATTAAGCCACTGTACCAAACAAAGGTTTCCTAGCTCGGCACGTCAAGGCGTCGTAGTCACCATCATTGTCCATATCCACCCACTGCACTCTGTGGTAAAACCAGTCCTCGCCAGACTCCTCCGTGATCCGCACCGGGGCACCCACTGCACTTCCACTAATATTCACCAGTTTTATTCCACCTTTTGTCTTGAAAGGAACAAGGAATCCATCTGGGATTGCAACCATGCTGCTGTTGAAAACGTTCTCTGTTAAGGGAAACCGATCACTTGCTTTTAAATAGATACCCGAATAGAAACAATATGTTTGATGAGTGTTACTACCATAGTTCGGAATACATCATGTCCGGCTGTATACCTGGTTTGAATAGCCGTATCTCCACGACAGTTCAACTCTATGTATCTTGTGCCATCCTAGTGGGACAGGCCACGCTCGTGCGGAACCTCTCGTCTCAACATATCGATGAGTGATATGTTAATGCTACGACACGTATACGTATTATTGACTAGTGTGAGTATTAATTACTGAAATCCCCACCAGCTACATGTAGTTAAGTAATTAATACTCTTCACATTAGTCAATACGATTTTTTCTACATTTTTTCCTTTCCTTAATCAACGCTATAAACAAAGCAGCAACAAGACAAGGATTTAGTAATCTTAAATAAATTTCTTTTCCTGACAAACTTGTGATGAAAACGTTACTAAATTCGAAACGTAATGTTTCTGTTCACTGAATAATACGTATGCGTTTTAATGCAGTTCTCTTAGTACAGTCATTGGCGGCGACCTGGCTTTTCAAATTTCAACAATATTTAGACCTTACAGTACAATTACGCCAGAGATTTAACGGGATTTGGAATAGTTTTCTTTGCCTATGTTTTGAGTGGTTACATCCTGTTCTACTATGGCGACCATACCATCTACGACTCAATGTTCACAATCTTCACCTATATGTTGGGTAAGAACAATATGGCGAGACTGATGCTAATAGCTCCCATCTTCATCTTTGTCTTGCTGACGATGTTTCAGGCCATCATGAACAACAGCATGACCGTGGTTCGGGACCATTTGAAGAAGAAACCTCCGCCATATGACTTAGTGAACGTTGTCATGAACATCTACCGAGCACTCATCAGAGACTGGCTCTCAGACAACTTCAAGAATCAGACGAACGTGGTACTTGTAGAAGAACACCGCCAATGACCGACGTATCGGGCACTTCGCAAACTGCCAGACCAGCTGGAGCTAGCTGACATGGAAAAAGGAGCGTTCCAAAAGACACGTGATGGCAAGTCATTAGACCTTCAGGGAAAACTCGACCAATTACCGTTAGAGGCAAGGATTCTGAGAGCACATGAGGCAAAGGAGTTTGGAGTACAGGAGAAACTGGGTATTCAGGATTTCAAGGACGAACTAAAAAGGAAGGGGCACGAAACAAGGGCAAACCGAAACAATGAACCTAGAGGTCTACGGGATGAGATAACCAATGTCAATCGAGAAAGCGGCAAGGCACAGACCGACCCGGGAAGAGAATCGGAGGAGAAACGTGGAGGACATGGCAGAGGCAGGATGAGGGAAAGGAACCTGGTGGACCGAGGTCACGTGATCCAAGGGCGCGCGAGCTCGGGCGTCATCAAGAACCTCAGAGAAGAAGGCAGTAGTTGTGAGAAGAAATGGTTTGGGTTTTACTCACCTGATTGGTTTAACACAAATAATTATTATTGTTTAATTTCAGTAAATGTTGCCATATACCCATAGTGACTTGACATAAACACATTACTGCTCTAATAATACAAAGTGATACAAAGGCAGGATCATGAATGTAAGTTTATGTTGTGAGACATAACTTACGTGTAACCAAACGGTTCCATCACTTACACGTAACCCAACAGATCCATCACTTACATGTAACCAAACAGATCCATCACTTACATGTAACCAAACAGATCCATCACTTACATGTAACCAAACAGATCCATCACTTACATGTAACCAAACAGATCCATCACTTACATGTAACCCAACAGATCCATCACTTACATGTAACCAAACAGATCCATCACTTACATGTAACCAAACAGATCCATCACTTACATGTAACCAAACAGATCCATCACTTACATGTAACCAAACAGATCCATCACTTACATGATCCATTAACCAAACAGATCCATCACTTACATGTAACCAAACAGATCCATCACTTACATGTAACCAAACAGATCCATCACTTACATGTAACCAAACAGATCCATAACCAAACAGATCCATCACTTACATGTAACCCAACAGATCCATCACTTACATGTAACCCAACAGATCCATCACTTACATGTAACCAAACAGATCCATCACTTACATGTAACCAAACAGATCCATCACTTACATGTAACCAAACAGATCCATAACCAAACAGATCCATCACTTACAAACAAGATCCATCACTTACATGTAACCAAACAGATCCATCACTTACATGTAATCCCCAACAGATCCATTACTTACATGTAACCCAACAGATCCAACACTTACATGTAACCCAACAGATCCAGACTTCCATGTCAAACAGATACATTACAACCAAACAGATCCATCACTTACATGTACCCAAACAGATCCATAACCATAATCCATCACTTACAACAGATCCAATGACATCACTTACATGTAACCAAACAGATCCATCACTTACATGTAACCAAACAGATCCATCACTTACATGTAACCAAACAGATCCATCACTTACATGTAACCAAACAGATCCATAACCAAACAGATCCATCACTTACATGTAACCCAACAGATCCATCAGATCCATCACTTACATGTAACCAAACAGATCCATCACTTACATGTAACCAAACAGATCCATCACTTACATACATGTCCAACTTACATGTAACCAAACAGATCCATCACTTACATGTTACCATGATCCATAACCAAACAGATCCATCCATAACCAAACTCCACATGTAACCAAACAGATCCATCACTTACATGTAACCAAACAGATCCATAACCAAACAGATCCATCACTTACATGTAACCAAACAGATCCATCACTTACATGTAATCCATCACTTACATGTAAAACAGATCCATCACACATTACCATGTCCATACCCAACAGATCCATCACTTACATGTAACCAAACAGATCCATCCATAACCAAACAGATCCATCACTTACATGTAACCAAACAGATCCATCACTTTAACCAAACAGATCCATCACTTACATGTAACCAAACAGATCCAACCAAACAGATCCATACATACTTACATGTAACCAAACAGATCCAAACTGATCCATCATTTACATGTAACCAAACAGATCCATCACTTTGTAACCAAACAGATCCATCACTTACATGTAATCCATCCAACAGATCCATCTTACTTACATGTTACCCAAACAGATCCATCACTTACATGTAACCAAACAGATCCATCACTTACATGTAACAAATGATCCATCACTTAACCAAACAGATCCATCACTTACATGTAACCAAACAGATCCATCACTTACATGTAACCAAACTGATCCATCACTTTTTACCATGTCCAACCAAACAGATCCATCACTTACATGTAACCAAACAGATCCATCACTTACATGTCATGTAACCAAACAGATCCATCACTTACATGTAACCAAACAGATCCATCACTTACATGATCCATCACTTACATGTAACCAAACAGATCCATCACTTACATGTAACCAAACAGATCCATCACTTACATGTAACCAAACAGATCCATCACTTACACGTAACCAAACAGATCCATCACTTACATGTAACCAAACTGATCCATCATTTACATGTAACCAAACAGATCCATAACCAAACAGATCCATCACTTACATGTAACCAAACAGATCCATCACTTACATGTAACCAAACTGATCCATCATTTACATGTAACCAACAGATCCATCACTTACATGTAACCAAACAGATCCATTCGTGTTTGAACGTGTTATCTGTCAGACTGCATACCAACTACACACAATTCATGGTTACAATGTTTTCGAAAAGCGCAGTGTGATGTTTTCACGTCAAAATTATGTTTCTTTTATTGTCTAGTAAATGCAGTAGTATCGATGTATTATTTATAACTAAGCATTAAAATAACCTTTGAAATTAATTTTTAAAAAGGATTTTAAGCGAAAATCAAAAGGCGTATACAATATATTTTCACCGACCATCAAGATAAACTCAAAGTTCAGTTTAAGATGATATGGAGGTACCTTTCATCATAAGTGTTGTGTGTATGTTCAAATATTTTGTAATTTATAACCAAACAATATCACCCAAATAATATCCACATATGAGAATAAGGCGTCACAAAGGAGTTGAACCTAAACAATAATGTTACAACTGTTAACAGTGTTTTCCTCTCTATATATTCCTGTTGAAACTTATTGTCCGTTTTGTCTTTACTTTTCGGAATGAATTGAGTACGTTAAAAAAACAAGTCTCTCTACCACGTTTACACACAGTAATAATTGTAAACCCAGGTCTACTTGCATACAAATTATATTCGTAGCATTGATACTAAGTAGAATAATCATGTCCCGGCGTCTTGTCTGAGATTTCCAGACTTTAACCTAGTTTTGAACTTTGTCCGTGCAGTCTGTAACTGGAAGTATTGTTCGAGTGATAGTTTCAATATTCCCCCTCAAACATACCGCCACATAATATTGCCACTTGGTATTGACTTTAATGTACATTTACCAAAGCTTTGTTCACAGAGAAAATGTATCTCCACAGTGTGTTTTCTACGGGAGAGCTAATTGGTCTTGCTCTAGTCCACAGTTCTGCACAGGTACACGTTGTCACTCTTCAATACATGCAAGTAACGTGTGTTATATGTGGGATGGCTCTATCTCAGTAAAGTACAGATTCTAGTACTGTTGTTGGGTTGAGTGCCATCCGGCATTCGAACCAACACCTGCAAAGTCAGACACCTAATCGCCTACACACAGAGTCAGTCGTCTAACCCGCTAAGTCGGCCAACTGGTAGTCTAGACCACGGACTTGTGTCACCCTCTGATAAGTGTAAATTGGCATGGCTCCCACGGTTGAAAGCTATGAATACACAATGCCATTTAGAAAGTGCCCCATTGTCAAATGTAACACATGCTATATTTGGGATTACACTTTCTCTGTAATGTACAGATTCTAATACATTATAGTCACATCGGCAATATTTTAGCCATATCGTGACTAAATCAAGTTATAGATTTGTAATGATTAAAAGTAAATTATCAACACCTGTCAACGAAGGGCAGTAAAACAACTAGACTACCACAGCTATTAGTTAAAACTAGTAATTAAATCTAAAACGGTTTACCTATAGAAGGCAATACAAAATAAAAACAGGCTATAGATTGCCAACAGCCGAAGTTAAATCACCATACTAGGGACCAATATTAATGATATGATTATGAGTAAGTCGCGCCGAAACCGAGATTGTCTTGACACCTAATACGGATTCTCGCGATATTTATGAGTCTCACTTGTCATGTCTATGATGAACAACAGAAGCGCATTCGTAAATCATGTGAAGATTCCCACCCCATCAAACTCTCACAAAGTAAACACCTTTACAGATCAGTTATCTATCCCAATGTTACTGTAATAGAAACTAGAAACTAGACATACGTGGCACGCCTGATATCTCATTAGGCCAGGTGACCTTGTCCGTCAGTGTCTGCGGTGTGATACCTCCCACGTTGTCCATGTAACGCCCCACATCTCTTACGATGTATGCATAGTCCGTGCTGAAGGGAACACCATCGAAAGAGGTTATCAGCAAATCATAAGACGTTTTGTTAGTCTTCCTATCAACTGTTCGATATATGTTTGTAAAGGCAGCATTTTTTACCGGAAAAGACCCCACTTTTTGGGGGTTTACAGCCACGGCAAGTGTTGCCACACTAAGCAAGACCGCCGCAGTTACTATCATGGCGAATATCTGGAACACAACACCGATAAGATTCAGGAGTGTTTATATAGTCATCAGTGCGCCTATGTACCTTCTCGCTCACACCTGTTGATACATCTGCTTTTCATGAACCAGTTACCACGCACAAATCTCTGATAAAGCATTTGCAAGTTATGGGCTTATGAAACATGCTTTTGGTTTAAGGTTAGACTAAATAAGTAACCATAGGTTCCAGAATTGTAACGTATTTAACCCATTCAAAGTACCCATTGAGTTTTACGTTTAAACGACATTCGTTTGATAACTTCATTTGGAACATTATCGAAGAACAAACAGTGATGCTCGTGCACTTTCGCGTTTTGACGACGAGGGTCATGAAGTACATGGCACGTTCCGGGTCAGATGAACAATCCACATAAGACCAACTCCAGCATATCTAGTAATCCTGTAATCAATATGTGCCCATGTTGATTTACAAGTTGAGATACTCTGAGGAAGAAAGTACTAAATCAAACCTGTTTTCAGTTCATAGAATGTGATTGATCACAATAATCGCCGTTCATAAAGGGATCACGTATTGTGTTGATGTTAACAATATATCATTGGTACTTCCATGTGATTTCTTCCACATCTGCAGTTGTTTATAATAGTCAGCCTTCGTCGCGGACAGTGCGAGCGAGACAAGCCGCGCGTTGGGAAGCTGTTCAGCATGACAGGACTGAGACTGAGATTTGCCATCGGAAGCTGTTCAGCATGACAAGATTGAGAGTTGCCATGGGAAGATGCTCAGCATGACACGACTGAGCCGCCATTGGAAGCTGTTCAGCTCTGCAAGATTGAGCCGCCATGGGTAGATGTTCATCATTGCACGACTGAGCCGCCATAGAAAGATGTTCAGAATTGGAAGACTGAGAGCTGCCATGGGAAGCTGTTCAGCATGAGAAAACTGAGCCGTCATGGGAAGATGTTCAGTATTGAAAGACTGATCCGCCATAGAAAGATGTTCAGCATCGGAGCCGCCATGGGAAGAAACCGAACAGTGTTGCTGATATGGAGCGTTTATTAAGCACCTGGTGTAAATGTCACTGGGTAGAACATAATGATACAAAACTGACGACTGAAATGTAATATACTCACGGAAAAAGTAACGGTACTTCATATATACTTCAACTTATATATATTTACTATAAAATAAAATAATGCAACTTTCAACACAAATCCTCGACTTTAAGGGCGTGATTTGCGGTTACCAATTTGAGTGTATCATATTTGTTTAGAGCATTATACTTTTTAATGTGAACAACATGGGATGCTATCAGATGCTCATGAAAACATATTTATTGAACCTAAACTGCATACGCAATTTCAGGCCTTGTTGCAATGGCTGCAAAGAGGAAACGAATTGTCCAGGCATATCAATAGTTACCGAAACACCATATCTGATCTTCAGAGATGATGATAAGTATAACACGCTCATTGGCAACGTGGGGTGGTGGGGTAGCCTAGTGGTTAAAGCGTTGGCTCGTCACGCCGAAGATTCGGGTTCGAATCCCCACATGAGTGCAATGTGTGAAGCCCATTTCTGGTGTTCCCCGCTGTGATGTTGCTGGAATATTGCTAAAAGCGGCGTAAAACCAAACTCAGTAAGTCAGTCAGTCATTCACAACGTGCAAGAGATACTTCGAATAATATATATATTTCATGCACAAGATGCTTTTCTTGAACTCATTAATGGGGTAATAATTTTTATTATCAAAATTTAACTCCCACAGCATGCACAGACAGGCGTTCTACCGGGAGACAACACTCTACCGCGCAAGCATGCACGTGCGGAACGAGCGTGCGTGCGCACTCATCTATCAACGGGACAGAGAAGTCAGTCCCGCGGCTGCAGCCGGCGCGTACGGACATGTCAATGGTCCAGAAAATGCTTGAAAAATAAATATGCTTCATATTCTTAACTAAAATTACATTGTCTGCTAAACACAATACATTGTTGCAAGGTGATTTTAAATTTGAAAAAGATGAGGCTCATAGTTTTAAATAATAAATATCTGGCTCTGCAGCTTGCTAAACAAATATATTGTCTTCGTACAAATTACAAACAACCCTACAATCTCCCAGTGCGTTTGGCACTAACTGATTCTAACCACAGAGCAAATATCATGACATCAACACAGCACTGCGGTAACACAATTATTTATTAGAAACACGTGAGAACATTTCAAATAGAAAATATACAAGAACAGAAATAGAAATGTGTTACTATTGTATGACGATGAGGGGTGAACGTTTTAATGTACACAAATATACAATGGACATTCAGATTCACATTTATAATTCATGTTTATATGGAAGCATTAGTTGAAGCTAGTAACAAACATGAGGGAACTGTTGTCCAGTATGACTGCGTGAATGCTTACTACTGCACTAGAGAAAGTCAGAAATACAGGAAGTGTGACGTTCATTCACAAGGTCACTAGCTAGGATATATCTACACACATACAGGCATAGTACAGCAACTACTATTGCCCAGAATACTCCAGAATAGCTTGATTACAACATAGCAGATGACAGCAGCGGACAACACAGAGAATGGAGTGATGGAAATGTTCAGGTTCTCTCATATACAGGTATAAGCAGGACGATTCGGTTGCCACGTGTAAACGAACCCTTCAATATGACTGAATACACCTGCATACATCGGTAATACCCTCATCAGTCTTGTAGCCTTTGTCTGTGTTGAGTGTTCTCCAAGCCCCACGAAAAAACTGCTACTGTTGGATTTGTCAGGAGGAAACAATAACAACGCTGTTTTGTGTTCGCGGGCACATTGTGATCATGAAGATTCTCTTTACATTGCTGCAGCAATACATGGACTGCCATTGTATACAACCATACATCGCTGTAGCAATACTAGACTGCCATTGTATACAATCATACATCGCTGCAGCAATACTAGACTGCCATTGTATACAACCATACATCGCTGCAGCAATACTAGACTTCCATTGTATACAACCATACATCGCTGCATCAATACTAGACTGCCATTGTATACAACCATACATCGTTGCAGCAATACTAGACTGCCATTGTATACAACCATACATCGCTGCATCAATACTAGACTGCCATTGTATACAACCATACATCGCTGCAGCAGTACATAGACTGCCATTGTATACAACCATACATCGCTGAAGCAGTACATAGACTGCCATTGTATACAACCATACATCGCTGCAGCAATACTAGACTGCCATTGTATACAACCATACATCGCTGCATCAATACTAGACTGCCATTGTATACAACTATACATCGCTGCAGCAATACATAGACTGCCATTGTATACAACCATACATCGCTGCATCAATACTAGACTGCCATTGTATACAACCATACATCGCTGCACCAATACTAGACTGCCATTGTATACAACCATACATCGCTGCAGCAATACTAGACTGCCATTGTATACAACCATACATCGCTGCAGCAATACTAGACTGCCATTGTATACAACCATACATCGCTGCAGCAGTACATAGACTGCCATTGTATACAACTATACATCGCTGCAGCAATACATGGTCTGCCATTGTATACAACTATACATCGCTGCAGCAATACATGGTCTGCCATTGTATACAACTATACATCGCTGCAGCAATACATGGACTGCCATTGTATACAACCATACATCGCTGCATCAATACTAGACTGCCATTGTATACAACCATACATCGCTGCATCAATACATGGACTGCCATTGTATACAACCATACATCGCTGCAGCAATACATGGACTGCAATTGTATACAACCATACATCGCTGCATCAATACTAGACTGCCATTGTATACAACCATACATCGCTGCAGCAATACTAGACTGCCATTGTATACAACCATACATCGCTGCAGCAATACTAGACTGCCAGTGTATACAACCATACATCGCTGCAGCAGTACATAGACTGCCATTGTATACAACCATACATCGCTGCATCAATACTAGACTGCCATTGTATACAACCATACATCGCTGCATCAATACATGGACTGCCATTGTATACAACCATACATCGCTGCAGCAATACATGGACTGCAATTGTATACAACCATACATCGCTGCATCAATACTAGACTGCCATTGTATACAACCATACATCGCTGCAGCAATACTAGACTGCCATTGTATACAACCATACATCGCTGCAGCAGTACATAGACTGCCATTGTATACAACCATACATCGCTGCATCAATGCTAGACTGCCATTGTATACAACCATACATCGCTGCAGCAGTACATAGACTGCCATTGTATACAACCATACATCGCTGCACCAATACTAGACTGCCATTGTATACAACCATAGATCGCTGCAGCAATACTAGACTGCCATTGTATACAACCATACACCGCTGCATCAATACTAGACTGCCATTGTATACAACCATACATCGCTGCAGCAGTACATAGACTGCCATTGTATACAACTATACATCGCTGCAGCAATACATGGTCTGCCATTGTATACAACTATGCATCGCTGCAGCAATACATGGTCTGCCATTGTATACAACTATAGATCGCTGCAGCAATACATGGTCTGCCATTGTATACAACCATACATCGCTGCAGCAATACATGGTCTTCCATTGTATACAACTATACCTCGCTGCAGCAATACATGGTCTGCCATTGTATACAACCATACATCGCTGCAGCAATACATGGTCTGCCATTGTATACAACTATAGATCGCTGCAGTAATACATGGTCTGCCATTGTATACAACCATACATCGCTGCAGCAATACATGGTCTGCCATTGTATACAACTATACCTCGCTGCAGCAATACATGGTCTGCCATTGTATACAACCATACATCGCTGCAGCAATGCATGGTCTGCCATTGTATGCAACCATACATCGCTGCAGCAATACATGGTCTGCCATTGTATACAACTATACATCGCTGCAGCAATACATGGTCTGCCATTGTATACAACTATACATCGCTGCGGCAATACATGGTCTGCCATTGTATACAACTATACATCGCTGCAGCAATACATGGTCTGCCATTGTATACAACTATACCTCGCTGCAGCAATACATGGTCTGCCATTGTATACAACCATACATCGCTGCAGCAGTACATAGACTGCCATTGTATACAACCATACATCGCTGCAGCAATACATGGTCTGCCATTGTATACAACTATACATCGCTGCAGGAATACATGGTCTGCCATTGTATACAACTATACATCGCTGCAGCAATACATGGTCTGCCATTGTATACAAGCATACATCGCTGCAGCAATACATGGTCTGCTATTGTATACAACTATAGATCGCTGCGGCAATACATGGTCTGCCATTGTATACAACCATCGCTGCAGCAATACATGGTCTGCCATTGTATACAACTATAGATCGCTGCAGTAATACATGGTCTGCCATTGTATACAACCATACATCGCTGCAGCAATACATGGTCTGCCATTGTATACAACTATACCTCGCTGCAGCAATACATGGTCTGCCATTGTATACAACCATACATCGCTGCGGCAATACATGGTCTGCCATTGTATACAACCATACATCGCTGCAGCAATACATGGTCTGCCATTGTATACAACTATACATCGCTGCAGCAATACATGGTCTGCCATTGTATACAACTATACATTGCTGCAGCAATACATGGTCTGCCATTGTATACAACTATACATCGCTGCAGCAATACATGGTCTGCCATTGTATACAACTATACATCGCTGCAGCAATACATGGTCTGCCATTGTATACAACCATACATCGCTGCAGCAATACATGGTCTGCCATTGTATACAACCATACATCGCTGCAGCAATACATGGTCTGCCATTGTATACAACTATACATCGCTGCAGCAATACATGGTCTGCCATTGTATACAACTATAGATCGCTGCAGCAATACATGGTCTGCCATTGTATACAACCATACATCGCTGCATCAATACTAGACTGCCATTGTATACAACCATACATCGCTGCATCAATACATGGACTGCCATTGTATACAACCATACATCGCTGCAGCAATACATGGACTGCAATTGTATACAACCATACATCGCTGCATCAATACTAGACTGCCATTGTATACAACCATACATCGCTGCAGCAATACTAGACTGCCATTGTATACAACCATACATCGCTGCAGCAATACTAGACTGCCAGTGTATACAACCATACATCGCTGCAGCAGTACATAGACTGCCATTGTATACAACCATACATCGCTGCATCAATACTAGACTGCCATTGTATACAACCATACATCGCTGCATCAATACATGGACTGCCATTGTATACAACCATACATCGCTGCAGCAATACATGGACTGCAATTGTATACAACCATACATCGCTGCATCAATACTAGACTGCCATTGTATACAACCATACATCGCTGCAGCAATACTAGACTGCCATTGTATACAACCATACATCGCTGCAGCAGTACATAGACTGCCATTGTATACAACCATACATCGCTGCATCAATACTAGACTGCCATTGTATACAACCATACATCGCTGCAGCAGTACATAGACTGCCATTGTATACAACCATACATCGCTGCACCAATACTAGACTGCCATTGTATACAACCATAGATCGCTGCAGCAATACTAGACTGCCATTGTATACAACCATACACCGCTGCATCAATACTAGACTGCCATTGTATACAACCATACATCGCTGCAGCAGTACATAGACTGCCATTGTATACAACTATACATCGCTGCAGCAATACATGGTCTGCCATTGTATACAACTATACATCGCTGCAGCAATACATGGTCTGCCATTGTATACAACTATAGATCGCTGCAGCAATACATGGTCTGCCATTGTATACAACCATACATCGCTGCAGCAATACATGGTCTTCCATTGTATACAACTATACCTCGCTGCAGCAATACATGGTCTGCCATTGTATACAACCATACATCGCTGCAGCAATACATGGTCTGCCATTGTATACAACTATAGATCGCTGCAGTAATACATGGTCTGCCATTGTATACAACCATACATCGCTGCAGCAATACATGGTCTGCCATTGTATACAACTATACCTCGCTGCAGCAATACATGGTCTGCCATTGTATACAACCATACATCGCTGCAGCAATACATGGTCTGCCATTGTATACAACCATACATCGCTGCAGCAATACATGGTCTGCCATTGTATACAACTATACATCGCTGCAGCAATACATGGTCTGCCATTGTATACAACTATACATTGCTGCAGCAATACATGGTCTGCCATTGTATACAACTATACATCGCTGCAGCAATACATGGTCTGCCATTGTATACAACTATACCTCGCTGCAGCAATACATGGTCTGCCATTGTATACAACCATACATCGCTGCAGCAGTACATAGACTGCCATTGTATACAACCATACATCGCTGCAGCAATACATGGTCTGCCATTGTATACAACTATACATCGCTGCAGGAATACATGGTCTGCCATTGTATACAACTATACATCGCTGCAGCAATACATGGTCTGCCATTGTATACAAGCATACATCGCTGCAGCAATACATGGTCTGCTATTGTATACAACTATAGATCGCTGCAGCAATACATGGTCTGCCATTGTATACAACCATACATCGCTGCAGCAATACATGGTCTGCCATTGTATACAACTATAGATCGCTGCAGTAATACATGGTCTGCCATTGTATACAACCATACATCGCTGCAGCAATACATGGTCTGCCATTGTATACAACTATACCTCGCTGCAGCAATACATGGTCTGCCATTGTATACAACCATACATCGCTGCAGCAATACATGGTCTGCCATTGTATACAACCATACATCGCTGCAGCAATACATGGTCTGCCATTGTATACAACTATACATCGCTGCAGCAATACATGGTCTGCCATTGTATACAACTATACATTGCTGCAGCAATACATGGTCTGCCATTGTATACAACTATACATCGCTGCAGCAATACATGGTCTGCCATTGTATACAACTATACATCGCTGCAGCAATACATGGTCTGCCATTGTATACAACCATACATCGCTGCAGCAATACATGGTCTGCCATTGTATACAACCATACATCGCTGCAGCAATACATGGTCTGCCATTGTATACAACTATACATCGCTGCAGCATTACATGGTCTGCCATTGTATACAACTATACATCGCTGCAGCAATACATGGTCTGCCATTGTATACAAGCATACATCGCTGCAGCAATACATGGTCTGCTATTGTATACAACTATAGATCGCTGCAGCAATACATGGTCTGCCATTGTATACATTAATACAACACAGCTGTTTTCCTGTCCTGGTCATCCATAAACAGCGGTGCTTGAGTTTCATCCTCGCTGTCAGTGAATAAGTCTGAAGAATGTATGCTGGCCCCATCAGATTCCGGATCTGGGGCATTCTCAATGAATTCATCAATATCTGTGTCTTCATGTCCCCGTGACGTGCTATCAGATGGCCCACTCACTTGTAGCTGTAGACGAGCAGAGCTTACATAGGTCGGTGCAAGAGATGACACGGCGGTATCTTCGGCTACATTGCTTTGTAACGGGACGAGATCGGCAAATAATGGGGTCATTTCTTTACCAACCGCAGGTGATTCAGGAGATCCTCTGATAGGGGGAGACACGTCATCGCTGTTATCCTCACCAGTATCATGTTCAGCTGGCTTTTCAACACGATCAGGAGTTGTGTTCCTGGCTTCTGTCTTGGAGTCTCCATGAGTTGTAGTTACTGTGTCGGAGGGTTCTGGTGACACGTGCCCTCTTTGTGTTCCTGTCACGCCCACGTCATCGCTCGTATAACTAGCTGTTGGCTCCAACTCGACCAATGGAATGTTTGTATTTCCCATAAAAGTCTCGACTGGAAGGTCCGACAGGTCCTTAGGAACATTCTCTTCCCCTAACATAACGTACTGCAGTGCTGGAGTGACCACCGTTGGCTTGGTAGTCAACTGCTGGACGGCAGAATTGGGGTCATCTGTGCGAAATGATGATTTGTCCGACTTTTCAAAATAGTTGGTATCCAGCGCCACACAGTTGGCGGAATGTCTGTCCCTGTGAATAGAAAATATATATATTTCAGATGCGGTATGAGGTAACTCTCAGTACACCCAACAAATCTATTCCATTCTAAAAGATCTTCTGACCCATTGCTACTGGCTTATGTAACCACTTACCAACTCCCTTGGCCATGAATTGCTTCCCCGGACGTCCCCTCAAAGTGGAAAACTGCTTGCGTTGGTTGGAGGATGAAATTGTCCAGAACATTTGAATTGTCGGCACCGGTGGACATGTCATAGGCTGCACCAGCGTCTACAAACATAACCATGCACATTTGTTAGCAGTAGCCAATATGAAATGTATGTTCGAATATGAATATCATCAGATACATATCAGCAACATATTCTTTTAAAACCTCCCATGTTTGTGGGTTTACTGAGTGGACAGGAACCACTGTCCACATGACAACAGTTCGTTCCATATGTAATCGTGTCCTTAAAGCTATGCAACAAATAGTGTTATGAGCGCTGGGAGGAGTTACATCCAAGTCACGCGTCGCTAAAGACAGGAGATGTACTCAAGCAATGTAATAATTTATCAGTTCAAGTTTCCTATGCAATGTATGTAGACAGATATTCAGAAGTATTACCACCACATTGTGTGTACATTAGCCTCACTGCTGGTTTGCATGTGTGTATGTCAGATACGTGGTGAGAACGATGTAGTAGAAGTCGACTGCTGATATGCGACCGAGCGACACCGACAGGGAAATATAGTCTCACCTGTATTGGAAGCGGAAGTGTTGATTCTAATGTCCGGGAGAATCTCGATCTGCCAAAATATTGGACCCAACCGGTAAATATATGAATACAAGAAAACAATAACGCAGGGGGCCATCTGTCGGACCTGTAGATGACTGCCCAGGGGGTGACATATTATTATACTCTCCATATCAAATGTCGGCCCTCTAAAATCTCTAGCTGTTTTGCATTTCCTCAGCTAGCTTGTGTATAAGAGATAAGATTACAGCTTACCCATTTTCTAAAACATAAGAAAAGCTTGATCGAGTTGAGGTATTAACAGTTAATTAACCCATAAACAGGCCTGCATTACTGCCACTCTGGACATTGTACCTCTCCAAGCGGTGGAGGTTTCACATGGCTGATAGCACGTTGGTCGTCGTGATAGGCCTCGAGTAGTTGTGAGTTATCAACTTGAAATCTGGAAATATAGTACACTTGCAACATGAGACAATAAAGCAATGACTTTCCCCTTCCGTATCACATAGTGTCACTTGATTTCAGCAGAAGCTTGGCAACTTAACGCCCACTAAATGGTGACATGAATGATTAAGGAATAGCTACAAAAGTGTTTCTGTCAGTACGAGTCCGGGACTGAAGATAACTACGTTCATCTTTTCTATCATACATCACACGTTCACTTGCTGTTGTCTTACGTTGGGTTATATCTGCCGGCGTCCGGTAGCCACGTTGTTTTAACTAATTCTACATCGCTGTCTGCTGAGATCCCGTCACCAAAGTCCCACAAATAGCCATTATTAGTAAAAGTGTATAATCCCCTGCCCTCCATCCTGAGTCCCCGGCGTCTGGGCTTGTCTCTGTACAGACCCCTGAAACAGAACATGTCTCAGTATCAGCACTGCAAGTAAAGTGATAGTTGTACATAACAAACTCAGCATTGGTCAACTTAGTGTATGTTATAACTTATGCGACGAACTTACGCATCACGTGCATATCCGCGAACATACATCAAACCTATTGCTACCGCGTGCCAGCTGAAATACTTCCTTCTGGCTATTGCATCACGTCAGACGGGTCGGAGGAATCATTTGCATGCTGGACGGCCCCTTACATACTATTGACAACAGACGTCATCAGACGTGTTCATACAACTTCGAAACCTAGGTAATCGTCGCTGCTCAGATGAGTCGTGCCCAATTTACTTGCCACTTCCTCGATGGCGTGGTCTGAGCGTCAAGCCATCGTCAGCCTCAGACCTTACGACACTTTGGAATATAGAATCTCTAACAGTTTTCGGTAGCCCTACTTTGTAACGGTGCATTAAGGAGTTTAAGAAATAATCACACATGAACAATTGCACTCTCACGTGTTTCAGGTTTACCTCCAGGGAGAAGGACATCTGTCGCTGCAGATAACACTGAAACATGTAGGATATTGTCCTTGTTGGGGGATGTTTTGTACTGTCTGTCCTACTTGTCCTACATATATTGGTGAACTGACTGTCGCACTGTGCAGAGGTCGGCCCCACATACCGTGGCTGGGGGTTTCAATTCTGACAATGTTTCCAGGTTGGATTCTACACATACAAACATCCTACTGTTATTAAATCAATTGTCTGCTGGGAACACTACATCAACCATACGACTTTTGGGGACCAACGGGGACAGAGGACATTTCTCGTGTTATGTCGCGCAGAGTGAGTCACAGCGACTGGACAAGAGACCACGTTACGTCTTGATCCTGAACAAACGTCCATGCATATAAGTAATCTGTACACAACACAGACGCGCAAACACCCCCATGCAGACTATCTCGAACAATGCCGTCACCATGTTATGCTATTAAACAATTATTAAGTTGTGCGTTTGTTTAGAATTGTCGGCAACCAATACCTGTCCAATTTACATACATCAGTAAATTAAACCCGTGTGGACCAACACCATGCTTTGTTAGTACAAGATCGTAATATGCACACTTCTATAAGATGACAATGTAAGGAAATAGACATATAATTATGCAAGTCAGAATAAAGTTGAAACTTATGACAACATAGTTTCGCATATTCTGTGTAATTTCAGTCTGTGCATATTCCAAATATGATGAAATACGGGATGCAGCGAGCCTTTCCCTAATGACCATTCTCCCAGCTTCGTACATCAATGTCCTATGAGAGATAAACTATTGTAAGTGATTTCAGAATCGTATGGGAAGTACAGGTTAAATCCAACCACATGGTAACTACGCCTGCTTCATGTAATCAGCCAGTATCTTGTCCTAATACTCTGCCATGCTCCCGACACGATCAGCTGCTCCCGGCATCATCAGCTGTAGGGCTATATATATGGTGTACCCTCCCATACTCTGCCATGCTCCCGGCACCATCAGCTGCAGGGCTATATATATGGTGTACCCTCCCATACTCTGCCATGCTCCCGACACGATCAGCTGCTCCCGACACCATCAGCTGCAGGGCTATATATATGGTGTACCCTCCCATACTCTGCCATGCTCCCGGCACCATCAGCTGTAGGGCTATATATATCGTGTACCCTCCCATACTCTGCCATGCTCCCGGCACCATCAGCTGCAGGGCTATATATATGGTGTACCCTCCCATACTCTGCCATGCTCCCGACACCATCAGCTGCAGGGCTATATATACGGTGTACCCTCCCATACTCTGCCATGCTCCCGGCACCATCAGCTGTAGGGCTATATATATCGTGTACCCTCCCATACTCTGCCATGCTCCCGACACCATCAGCTGCCGGGCTATATATACTCATGCCAATAATGGTTGTCACCCCCTTCAATTTTTTTAATTGGAGTGGGGGTGTGAGGTGTGTGGGGGGTTGGGGTGGGGAGAGGGGTGGCAACCATTATTGGCATGAGTATATATGGGGTACTCCCCCACGTATCTGCACCACCACCAGTATCGGCCACCACACAGGCAGGGGAACATTGACAGGAGACATCCTACTGCAGCCTTGTACGTCATCCATACATCACTCACTATATCAATGGTGCAGGGGAAAGATAAGGGCTCTTTTCGTAACACTGAATGATGTTTGTTTAGAATGTCACTATAGTGTTTTTGATAGGTAGTAAAGCCCAACGAATGATCCTAAGAAGAATAGAACGTTGTATTGCAAAACTGACAAAAGAATAGTTTTCTTTTACTACTAGTATTTGTAAAGCAAGTAAAACCACTGCAAACACTCCTTAATACGTACTTGAACTTTGCCTATATCATTCACTTTCAGTGCTACGTGCAACTTTGGAAATTTTAACATTATACCTTTATTCACTGTTATAACGTGTCACCAGTACTGTCATGGATGTGCTGACGTGTTATGGTGGTTTGGGTCATGCTACTTACACATGGGAAGTAAAGTCGGATGACAGCAATACAAGCAGCTACAGGGTGGCACACCGCGCTCGAAGCAAAGGAACTGCATACAACATATGTGCGCCATACTTTGTCAGTATGAACATTTAGATAATTTTGATCGGCATTCTAGAAGTTGGCGAGTCAGTGACATGCTTGCAGGTATGTGCTAGTGCGGGTGCAGACAGACAGACAGACAGGCAGGCAAGCGGTACGTCCACGTACTCTCCTCATACAGACCTATGCTAATAGAGAAGAGTGTCAGGGGTTCTATGTAATTCGACACTGAAATAAACATGAAATATGACGGTCAGTGCGATATGTATATACATACTAGTAAACTAAACAGTTATATCCGTATACTTTTCAACCTCTCTTATCGGCATTATGTGTAAACAGAAACAAAAAATAAGTTTACTTTCGGTACCATGTTGTCCCCAGTTAAAACTAAATGTAGACGCAGGAATTATTTTTAAAATATACACATGAAAGAAAATGTATCTCAACGCCCATATTTAGCATAGTACCAATATGTTACCGTTAACCATAGGAAGAAAACCTAATTGAAATCTCAAATGTGGATAAGCCTCAAGGAGTGATTCAATGGCAAATCTTATGGCAAACAGAGCGGAAAAACTGTAGTTGATTTAGAGAAGCAAACAGGTCAGACAATCAGACTAATTTTGTAGTGCTGATAACTATGGTCGTATAACGTTAACAAGTGCTGTGATATACATGATTCTTGTATATGATACTCAAGCAATCACATAAGTATCAATAACCCAGCGCAATCTGGTGTAACCCCCGCCAACGTCAATGTCTGGTGTAACCTCCGCCAACGTCAATATCTGGTGTAACCTCCGCCAACGTCAATATCTGGTGTAACCTCCGCCAACGTCAATATCTGGTGTAACCTCCGCCAACGTCAATATCTGGTGTAACCTCCGCCAACGTCAGTAACATCCCTGACCCCCCTCCTCATTCACTGCATTAGATGTTGAATATGACTGCGTTTTATCCTCGATGATGGGCTTATTTAAATACATAAAGATTTTGCACTAGAATATTTCTCTTCGAACCCAAATATCCGAAACATGCTCTATGGGATTGGGATTTGGGCTCCTAGCGGGCTCAGATAGATATTATACGTTTCTATTATCGTTAGATATGACCAACGACGCATACACGATGTGGCCTAATATGACCTTGTGTTTAGAGGAAGGTCATCAAAATATAGCACACTAATCCTATCACAGATGTCCTTGATGTACCGTTGACCATTCATATTCTGTCTGATAGCCACAAGGTCATGTTAACGGTTAAGAGGCACCACCCTCACCTTCAGTGAACCCAAACTTTATTTGCTCCAAGGTACTCCGTTTGCAAATCACAGATGTATGCTGGTGCCAATTTGTTTTGAAAACCGAATTCTAAAAGTCTAACAGTCTTGACGCTATTTGTTTGCTGATGGTTTACGGCAAATCGGCTGATAGTCGATGGATGACAACCAACATCTCTGGCAATAGCTCTCAATGACATGTCAGCATTCCCTACACCAATACCGCAGTATCTTTGAGCAGTTGTCAGTTGAGGAGGCCTCATTTTGTTATGGAGTTGTAGGGACATTTACTGAAACTGGGGCGGTGGGGTAGCCTAGTGGTTAAAGCGTTGGCTCGTCACGCCGAGGACCCGCGTTCGAATCCCCACATGGGTGCATTGTGTGAAGCCCATTTCTGGTGTCCCCCACCGTGATGTTGCTGTAATATTGCTAAAAGTGGCGTAAAACCAAACTCACTCACTCACTCACTACTGAAACTGAATATCTGCTAAATGACAGGTACTCGTGCTGCCCGGTATTTCCGCCTTTGATCCTACCACGTGCATATCTATAATCAATGTATGGTACGCCATAATGGTCAAAATAATCATACAAAAACCATAACATATGATATGAATATAAATGGTTATATGGGCTAAAATCATAGGTGTTGCGATACTTTTATCCATGTGTATACTGTCAAATTTGAACCTAAATTTCTTCATACTAAATGCGCCAATCTGATTAAACAATGTCTGACTCCAACAACTTACACTTAAAGCACCCTTGCATTGTTTTCAGACAACAAGGTCTTGACGAGCAAAGTACAAATCCAAAGCTTAGGATTGCATGTGACAAACTTGTGTATCGGTGTATGTCCCCTGGTTGTGACAATGGACGAAACACAAACAAACGCTACAGTTCCTTGGGAAACAATTGAAAAACACCAGTGTCGTAACTGAATTACAACCAGTCTGTGGCGTCTTCTTAGGTGAGTGGCCAACCTGTTCACCCAGCAGTATACCCGGAACGTGACGAGTAATCTTTTGGCGCCCATCAAAGCAGCTTGGGTTGTTGGCATCCCAGGGAGATGGGAAAGAGAATTGAGCGCACAGTAATCCACTGACCGGGCTAATAATGGTACCACTTTGCACGTGCTTATGCATTCAGAGACCCTTTTGAACCAGATTTGTTCCTATAATACACTACAGATTATTGTGATCGTTAAACCAGGAAGCAAACTACGTGTGGCATTCATGTGGTTGGGTATACCTATGACAGATTTATACCGTGTCGAGCCACAATTGACGCATCTTATACTTTGTTCAACTCGTTTGAGGAGTAAATTGTGTCACAAATATTGGAAACCTGCGCACCGAAAACCGACTTTAAAAAAATGATAAAAAATACCACGCATAATAGTCCTAGCATAGTGACAGCAGCCCAAGAAACCTTCTACATGTGGTGTGTGGGCCAGTAGATCACTTACTTGGGGTTTTCCAGGTAGAACCTGTCTAGTCGGTGTGAGGGTTTGAGGAAAGACACGCTGTCCATCTTCTTGAGTCGACGATGTTGTAAACATATACACAGGATAACCAGAAGCAACAGCAGGAGCGAGATGCAGCCAGCTAGCACTGCGAGCGCCCATCCGCTAGTGCCCAGGTCCACCCCACTGTATGCTGCTAGACTGAACAGCTCTGGAAAGAACATAGGACACTGAAGTCTTCATCCATTCCACGTTTAAGAATAAAGACGATAATATAAGGTGAGACGATGAACTGAAGTTCAGGAGTACTACTTCTAACATGTATGGGAACACCCAAAGACAACCAGAACTCGCTGGCTACTTTCAGATACTGTATCATTTAATGAGTGGATTGTCCTGATCAAAGAACAGTTGAGAAGTTGAATGATGCCGGTCGTTGTACGGAAGTGTGTGAGGTGTGAGTTGTCATTATGAAAAGTCACATGCCACGCTACACAGTCAAATATGTATGTGGCCACCGTGGTGCGTAGTGCACTCTGCAACTCGGGCTCTCACTGACCTGACAAGTGTTCGTGGAGCAGCCTGCGATAATGTCTGCCTGAAGGAACAGACGGGCTGCAGGTTGCACACGGGGACATTTAGCGGAGGAATGACAAGTGGTCCTCCAATTTCATTCCTGTACCGGACACCAGTACCGTTGCCGTGGGTACGGTGAAGGGGCGTCCTGCGAAACAAACTAAAACCTCCCTCCACAGCGAGACCGACAATCCACCAAACCTGTCCTGTTTTAGGATCGACGCATCGCCTTCTGAACGCGACCATCTTGGTACTGTTAACTGAATCTAGACCCATCCGAGGACAACACCTGTAACGAGGCCGATGATTCCAAAGCTGATGGATCCGACACCAGACAAGATGTGCTGGTCTATAACGTGGAAGAGGGTCATGCCTAACAGCAGGATGCCAACGAGTGGTCTCTGAGCTCATGTTCATCATGTGCACGTGCCAGTCGTAACTGCAGTGCATTGGCAGTGATGCATCTCTGACGTAAGGCCATCACATGACGTAGCATTCACCAGTTCTGGGCGTTGATCTGGGTCTACCCGAACGTGGTCGGTTCTATACTCTTCTAAACGGTGACTCACTGGTAGTGACCTCTGAAGGAGATCTCTCCCATTTCTATACCACCCTGAAGGCATGCCCGGCCACGACCAACAACACTAAATGTCCTCCGCGTCATGACGTCTCCAAAACTGAAGACTGAAACATTTCGGCGAGCTCGATATTTAAACCCACGTGTGAAGTGGCGTCGCTGGTAGAAAGAGCTCGAGTATGTGCATGGTTGTGTTCGGGTGGCACTCAGCCTCGGGTGACAACGAACACAATTGCATTGGTGAACATTCAGACGTTTTCTGCCATTTTGTCAGTCACCAAATGGGTTCCAACTGCACGTCTGCTTACCTCATCTATGCAGTGTTCCACACTCACCACTAGACATCATAGATGTTCCTATACCTGTTTGAAGTAGTATTATATGACCTTTAATTAAACACACTTTATATAGTATAGCACTCATTAGTTCCTCATCAATACACTACACACTCAGTTTGGTCTTGGTTGACTCTGCACGAGACATCGCACCCTGTCCTCCCAAGTTTACGGCTGCTACTTTGACCTCGTATGTAGTTTGTTCCTCAAGATTGGAGATGACGGCCGAATGTTTTGCAGCATCGTCAACTGTCACGGAGGAAAATTCCCTGTCGTCTCGGTCCAGTTTTCTATAGAATATCACGTAGCCTCGTATGTCGTCCTGACCGTTGGTGTTCGATGTCTGGGTGAGATACAAAATTTGTTTCACATCAATGACATGCCAGAACTTCATTAGGCGTATTGTTTGGTGGAGTGTCACTATGATACTACAGATCTGCTTATAGATGAAGGAGTTTCACTTACGTTCCATGTGACAGACACTGACTGGTCGTCTATGGGGAACACTGTGATCTCTGGCACAAAGACGGGCGCTGCAAACATACACAGCTTTGAAGTTTGTACATAGCCATAAGGACACGGTTCCACACACAACAAAGATGCTGAATGATGACAGCACATACTTCCTATAAACCATCACTAACTATTGTTCATATATTTTAGGTCAAATTACACCAATACAATCGATACATCGGATATATATGACCCCTTACCACACCAATTTGTTCATACCTGGTTTGCTGACATTCACCATGACACGTGTCGGCACACTGCTCATGTTGATGGCGGTGTTGATTGCTGTTACTTCCACCTGGTAAGATCCGTACTCGGCATCAATGCTGGCTTCCAGTGTGCTGTTGGCAGAGCGGGTCTGTTGCCTGACAGGTGTGTCATACTCTCCACTGGGCCCCCTTCCCCAAAGGGAGACTCGGTACACCACGTCATCTGGGGGAACAACACACAACCACTACACCATGGAGACTCGGTACACCACGTCATCTGGGGGAACAACACACACAACCACTACACCATGGAGACTCAGTACATCACGTCATCTGGGGAACAACACACAGCCAATACACCATGGAGACTCGGTACACCACGTCATCTGGGGGAACAACACACACAACCACTACACCATGGAGACTCGGTACACGATGTCATCTGGAGGAACAACACACAACCACTACACCATGGAGACTCGGTACACGATGTCATCTGGGGGAACAACACACAGCCACTACACCATGGAGACTCGGTACACGATGTCATCTGGAGGAACAACACACAACCACTACACCATGGAGACTCGGTACACGATGTCATCTGGGGGAACAACACACAGCCACAACAACATGGAGTCTCGGTACACCACGTCATATGGGGGAACAAAACACAACCACTACACCATGGAGACTCGGTACATCACGTCATCTGGGGAACAACACACAACCAATACACCATGGAGACTCGGTACACCACGTCATCTGGGGAACAACACACACAACCACTTCACCATGGAGTCTCGGTACATCACGTCATCTGGGGGAACAACACACACAACCACTACACCATGGAGACTCGGTACATCACGTCATCTGGGGGAACAACACACAACCACTACACCATGGAGACTCGGTACACCACGTCATTTGGAGGACAACACACACAACCACTACACCATGGAGACTCGGTACACCACGTCATCTGGGGAACAACACACAACCACTACACCATGGAGACTCGGTACACGATGTCATCTGGAGGAACAACACACAGCCACTACACCATGGAGTCTCGGTACACGATGTCATCTGGAGGAACAACACACAACCACTACACCATGGAGACTCGGTACACCACGTCATCTGGGGGAACAACACACACAACCACTACACCATGGAGACTCGGTACACCACGTCATCTGGGGGAACAACACACACAAACACTACACCATGGGGACTCGGTACATCACGTCATTTGGAGGAACAACACACACAACCACTACACCATGGAGACTCGGTACACCACGTCATCTGGGGAACAACACACAACCACTACACCATGGAGACTCAGTACACCACGTCATCTGGGGGAACAACACACAACCACTACACCATGGAGACTCGGTACACCACGTCATCTGGGGAACAACACACAATCACTACACCATGGAGACTCGGTACACCACGTCATCTGGGGGAACAACACACAACCACTACACCATGGAGTCTCGGTACACGATGTCATCTGGAGGAACAACACACAACCACTACACCATGGAGTCTCGGTACACGATGTCATCTGGAGGAACAACACACAGCCACTACACCATGGAGTCTCGGTACACGATGTCATCTGGGGAACAACACACAACCACTACACCATGGAGACTCGGTACACCACGTCATCTGGGGAACAACACACAACCACTACACCATGGAGACTCGGTACACGATGTCATCTGGGGAACAACACACAGCCACTACACCATGGAGTCTCGGTACACGATGTCATCTGGGGGAACAACACACAACCACTACACCATGGAGACTCGGTACACCACGTCATCTGGGGGAACAACACACAACCACTACACCATGGAGACTCGGTACACCACGTCATCTGGGGGAACAACACACAACCACTACACCATGGAGACTCGGTACATCACGTCATCTGGGGGAACAACACACAACCACTACACCATGGAGACTCGGTACACCACGTCATCTGGGGGAACAACACACAACCACTACACCATGGAGTCTCGGTACACAATGTCATCTGGGGGAACAACAAACAGCCACTACACCATGGAGACTCGGTACACCACGTCATCTGGGGGAACAACACACAACCACTACACCATGGAGTCTCGGTACACCACGTCATCTGGGGGAACAACACACAACCACTACACCATGGAGACTCGGTACACCACGTCATCTGGGGAACAACACACAACCACTACACCATGGAGACTCGGTACACCACGTCATCTGGGGAACAACACACAACCACTACACCATGGAGACTCGGTACACCACGTCATCTGGAGGAACAACACACAACCACTACACCATGGAGACTCGGTACACCACGTCATCTGGGGAACAAACACACAACCACTACACCATGGAGTCTCGGTACACCACGTCATCTGGGGAACATCACACACAACCACTACACCATGGAGACTCGGTACACCACGTCATCTGGGGGAACAACACACAACCACTACACCATGGAGACTCGGTACACCACGTCATCTGGGGAACAACACACAACCACTACACCATGGAGTCTCGGTACACCACGTCATCTGGAGGAACAACACACAACCACTACACCATGGAGACTCGGTACACCACGTCATCTGGGGAACAACACACAACCACTACACCATGGAGTCTCGGTACACCACGTCATCTGGAGGAACAACACACAACCACTACACCATGGAGACTCGGTACACCACGTCATCTGGGGAACAACACACAACCACTACACCATGGAGTCTCGGTACACCACGTCATCTGGGGAACAACACACAACCACTACACCATGGAGACTCGGTACACCACGTCATCTGGGGAACAACACACAACCACTACACCATGGAGACTCGGTACATCACGTCATCTGGAGGAACAACACACAACCACTACACCATGGAGACTCGGTACACCACGTCATCTGGGGAACAACACACACCACCACTACACCATGGAGACTCGGTACACCACGTCATCTGGAGGAACAACACACACAACCACTACACCATGGAACCTCGGTACACCACGTCATCTGGGGGAACAACACACAACCACTACACCATGGAACCTCGGTACACCACGTCATCTGGGGAACAACACACACAACCACTACACCATGGAGACTCGGTACACCACGTCATCTGGAGGAACAACACACACAACCACTACACCATGGAACCTCGGTACACCACGTCATCTGGGGGAACAACACACAACCACTACACCATGGAGACTCGGTACACCACGTCATCTGGAGGAACAACACACACAACCACTACACCATGGAGTCTCGGTACACCACGTCATCTGGGGAACAACACACACAACCACTACACCATGGAGACTCGGTACATCACGTCATCTGGGGAACAACACACAACCACTACACCATGGAGACTCGGTACACCACGTCATCTGGGGAACAACACACAACCACTACACCATGGAGACTCGGTACACCACGTCATCTGGGGAACAAACACACAACCACTACACCATGGAGACTCGGTACACCACGTCATCTGGAGGAACAACACACAACCACTACACCATGGAGACTCGGTACACCACGTCATCTGGGGAACAACACACAACCACTACACCATGGAGACTCGGTACATCACGTCATCTGGAGGAACAACACACAACCACTACACCATGGAGTCTCGGTACACGACGTCATCTGGAGGAACAACACACAACCACTACACCATGGAGACTCGGTACACCACGTCATCTGGAGGAACAACACACAACCACTACACCATGGAGTCTCGGTACACGATGTCATCTGGAGGAACAACACACAACCACTACACCATGGAGACTCGGTACACCACGTCATCTGGGGAACAACACACAACCACTACACCATGGAGACTCGGTACACCACGTCATCTGGAGGAACAACACACAACCACTACACCATGGAGACTCGGTACACCACGTCATCTGGGGAACAACACACAACCACTACACCATGGAGACTCGGTACACCACGTCATCTGGAGGAACAACACACAACCACTACACCATGGAGACTCGGTACACCACGTCATCTGGGGAACAACACACAACCACTACACCATGGAGACTCGGTACACCACGTCATCTGGGGAACAACACACAACCACTACACCATGGAGACTCGGTACACCACGTCATCTGGGGAACAACACACAACCACTACACCATGGAGACTCGGTACACCACGTCATCTGGGGAACAACACACAACCACTACACCATGGAGTCTCGGTACACCACGTCATCTGGAGGAACAACACACAACCACTACACCATGGAGACTCGGTACACCACGTCATCTGGGGAACAACACACAACCACTACACCATGGAGTCTCGGTACACGACGTCATCTGGGGAACAACACACAACCACTACACCATGGAGACTCGGTACACCACGTCATCTGGGGAACAACACACAACCACTACACCATGGAGACTCGGTACACCACGTCATCTGGGGAACAACACACAACCACTACACCATGGAGACTCGGTACACCACGTCATCTGGGGAACAACACACAACCACTACACCATGGAGACTCGGTACACCACGTCATCTGGGGAACAACACACACAACCACTACACCATGGAGACTCGGTACACCACGTCATCTGGGGGAACAACACACAACCACTACACCATGGAGACTCGGTACACCACGTCATCTGGAGGAACAACACACACAACCACTACACCATGGAGTCTCGGTACACCACGTCATCTGGGGAACAACACACAACCACTACACCATGGAGACTCGGTACACCACGTCATCTGGAGGAACAACACACAACCACTACACCATGGAGACTCGGTACACCACGTCATCTGGGGAACAACACACAACCACTACACCATGGAGACTCGGTACACCACGTCATCTGGGGGAACAACACACAACCACTACACCATGGAGACTCGGTACACCACGTCATCTGGGGAACAACACACAACCACTACACCATGGAGACTCGGTACACCACGTCATCTGGGGAACAACACACAACCACTACACCATGGAGACTCGGTACATCACGTCATCTGGAGGAACAACACACAACCACTACACCATGGAGACTCGGTACACCACGTCATCTGGGGAACAACACACAACCACTACACCATGGAGACTC